TATTGCTAGAAAAATGTCAAATGTATATAAATGACTTAAAATGTTCTGTTTTACTTAGCTCATGAAAAGAAATTCTCTTGCATCGTGAAAATTGTTATGTAGCACTTCACCTGTTCTGTGAAATTTCTCTTGCGTAATATGCCCTCTTATGTTATAGCAGACATCATACAAAGAGCCCGTGGAATGTCACCCGGAATATTATCCAAAGACAAAAGTAAACCAGACTGCTTTCTCAAGATGGTATGCATGCTTTTATGTTATAATTGCTATGCAACCTCGTTGGTTTTGCGATTTCAGTGCTCAGTTACCTTGAATCTTGTAGCTTTGGTGTAGCTTCTTGGTCAACTTGTTTTCTTAAAATATCTGACTTTTTTCTTGGTAAGCCTAGATGATATGAATTTGATTCCATTAGCTTGTCTTTACATTCCAATCATGTAGACTAAGAACGAAGTCTTGACGAAAGATGGAAACACAAAGGATGTCCGCCACTTTGAGTTTCAATTTGTTTCTTCTGTAAGTAACTTTGCTATACCACTTACTTTTTGGTGAAGTCTTATCCTCTTTGGTGAAGTCTGATCCTCTTTTGTTTTCTCCTCATTAAAGAGTATCAAATATGAAGTCGGCGATGTTGTTGAGCTTCTTCCAAGCCAAGATTCTTCAGCAATTGATGCGTTTATAAAACGCTGCGAATTGGACCCGGAATCATTCATTACAGTAAGTAGCTCCCACACTGTTCAACATGATGATCTTAGAATGTCTAATTTGAGGTTTTAAAATAAATTAGACATTCTAAGATAGAAGCATCAATTACTTTCAGGTTTGTCCGAGAGAGACAGAAAATAGTGGTTCATGTGGAGATGTAATTACACATGTTCCTATTAAGCTTAAGACTTTTGTTGAATTAACAATGGACGTTACATCCGCTTCACCTCGACGATACTTCTTTGAGGTAAAAGAGCCCTTGAATATCAAAACTTTAATGAGTTTATGTATCAAACAAGTATTTGATGGAATTCCTTACAATGTATAATCTCTATTCAGGTTATGAGCTTCTATGCAACAGAAGAACATGAGAAGGAAAGACTTCAATACTTTGCCTCACCGGAGGGACGTGATGACCTCTACAATTACAATCAGAAGGAAAGAAGAAGCGTCCTTGAGGTGTTAGAGGATTTCCCTTCGGTGCAGAAGATGCCTTTTGAGTGGCTTGTACAGTTAGTACCATCGCTAAAACCAAGAGCTTTTTCGATATCTTCATCTCCTTTGGCTCACCCTGATCAAGTACATTTGACAGTAAGCGTAGTAACATGGATCATCCCTCATAAGATACCTCGTCCTCGAAAGGGTTTATGCTCTTCTTGGCTTGCAAGCCTCACACCTGATCAAGGTTAGTTTCTTCTTGTTACCATAACTTACTTTTGTTTCTATTTATTATCTTAAACATTTTCTGTTCCGTTGTGTTTAGAGATAAACATACCGGTTTGGTTTCACAAAGGCTCTCTTCCTGCTCCACCTCCGTCGCTTCCACTCATCTTAGTGGGACCCGGAACCGGATGTGCCCCTTTCCGTGGGTTCATAGCTGAGAGAGCCGTTCAAGCTGAGAGTAGCCCTGTCGCACCAGTCATGTTCTTTTTTGGTTGCAGAAACAGAGACACAGACTTTTTGTACCGGGACTTCTGGGAGTCTCACGCAAGAGAAGGTGGCATGCTCTCTGAAGAAAAGGGTGGTGGTTTATACACAGCGTTCTCTAGAGACCAACCGAAGAAGGTTTACGTGCAACACAAGATCCGCGAGATGAGGAAGAAAGTATGGGATTTGCTCTGTGATGGAGCGGCCGTTTACGTGGCGGGATCGTCCACGAAGATGCCTAGTGATGTGATGTCGGCTTTTCAGGAGATTGTGATGGAGGAGACGGGAGGATCAAAGGAAATGGCTTCACGGTGGCTCAAGGCTTTGGAGAAAGCTGGGAGATACAATGTTGAAGCTTGGTCTTAAACCCATCTTCCTTCATCTCATGTAAGCTATATGAATCATTGGGTTATTATTTAAATTGATTTTATGTTCACATTGAACGGTTCAAGTGAAGATGATTTGTTTGATTGTTTGCATTTAGAACTTTATGTATAAATTCATTTTAGTTTTTTAATATAATGATATGGATTACCTTTTTCATCTTTTAACTAGAGTTTAAGTAGTGATTATTTGCGTGCATGCAAATTTTAATTTGTTTAATTGTTTGCATTGGAGACTTTATACTAAACAAGGCCTATTCAATCATTTCTCCAATATTGGGCTTTATCCATACTGTTTATAACTCAAGTGGATGTGTAAGAAAGGCAAGAAAAGTTGTCTAATTTACCCAATTTGCAAAGTGGGATCACATTCAAGAGACTGGAATAGTCAGATTGAGACTGATGATGTCCATAAGCAACATTATGTTGGTCACCACTTTCCCAAGCCTCTCCTATATGGTGACTTCGTTGATCAATAGTGATCTTTTAGAACTTGCCATCAAGTCGTTGTAGTATAGTGGTAAGTATTCCCGCCTGTCACGCGGGTGACCCGGGTTCGATCCCTGGCAACGGCGAAATTCTTTTTTAAACGTCATTACTTTTCTGGATAGACGACTCCTCATGATGTTTAACTTCTTTTAAGTAGGACTGCATGTCGTTTCTCGTTTAGTTTCAAATGGACATATTATTCAATGGGCCTAAACATGGCCTCCCATACCGAAGTAGATTACTAATAAGAAGGGTCAGAATATGGTTTTATAAAAATCGAGGGTCTACAGTTAAAAATATTTGTTAAGTAATATCTACACTAATATAACTGTTTAATCAACCAATCACTAAGAGCATGCCCATCAGAAGATCATAAGGGGTTTATGGGCTCGGTTTCCTAAGCCCGCAGTATTTTAAAAAAAAAAAAATTGGCTAATTTCGGTGAACCGGTTCGCCAGAGTGAACCTGTATGATACGGGTTCAAGCCACGTGTCATCACGTGATTGGTAGCGCGTTTTTTGTTTGAGGAAGCCGAAACAGGGGTCTCGCGTGGGAGATCTCATTTTTTCTCATTTTCTGTTTTCTCTAGGGTTTTTTCTCTCGAGGCGATTTCTCGTTCAAGTCAACGCCGGAGCTTTTCTCCATCCAGTCGAGGACGAAATGTCTCCCCTACGAACTTAGGTGAGTTTTGAGTTCAATTACGGTTAACTAGCATCGTATTTGAGGTTGAAATCGATCTCGAGAAACCGAAATTGATTTGGGGGTTTTGGGTTAGGATTCGAAATATAAAAAGGGGGTTTCGATTTATGGTTGTAATTCTTCATGGGGGTTCGATTTAGGGTTCCTTTAGTATGACATGTTGATTTGGTTCAGAAGTTTCAGATTTGATTTTTGCAGTCTTGTTGTCGTTGTAACCAAAGGCATGTCGTTGTATGACATGTAGTTGTTAATGTTGACAAATTAGTTTTTTTATGAATTGGAAATGGTTTATTGTTTGTGACCGAAAGTATTGTAATTTTGGCGCAGGACAAATTGGGTACGCTCTTGTTCCCATGATTGCAAGAGGTATCATGCTTGGTGCAGACCAGCCAGTGATCCTCCACATGTTGGATATTCATCCTGCTGCTGAAGCTCTCAACGGTGTCAAGATGGAGTTGGTCGATGCTGCTTTCCCTCTTCTCAAAGGTAGTTATAGTTTCTGAACCTTTGTCTTCTTATTTGCGTAAACTTTTTTTATGTATATGTTGCTAAGTGAGAGAGATAACGAGCATTTGACTTGTTTTATCAGGTGTCTTTGTTTATGGTTTCACCTTCACGTCTGATCAAAAGTTGTTGGTTGGTTTGCAGAGCTATTTCCTCAAGAGTTTAGAACGTGTATGTTGGTAGCAAACAGCTTACTGTTGTTGAAGGTTTGGAAGAAGATGAATAATTTATTCCAGCTGTAAGCAAATAATGTGTTATTTATTTCTCTGCAAAAACAAGTAGAGCCAAAGATTTGATGTATTGTTTGTTAGAGGGACAGATACATAGTTTTATGTCTTCTTCCGTTTGTTTCTGTCATGGCTTATATATATATATATTTTTTGTGGAAGGTAGATTGCAGTCGCAAATATCATTCCCTTCGCTCTCACCTTGATTCTTCTCCGGCTGATGATCCAGCAGCCTCTCTCTTCCTCAACGCAAACGGTGAGCACTTTATATGTTTACAACTTTACGTTTAATATCTTTGATCTCTCTATTGTGTTTACCTTTGAGATTGAGCTTTTCATTTTCTACAGAGGATAGCTACAGCGTTGTGCTTCCAGAAAAGTTTGACACTGGGAAATGAAACTTTGCACGACAACTTTGTGTAAGCTCTTTGACCTTTGTTCTATGGTCGGTTTCAGTTTATGATCTGATTCTGGAAATTGCTCTGTTTTTTTTTTGTGTGGAATATTCAGACATGCTGTTGAGACATATCCTGATAACAAGTATCTTGGCACAAGAGCTCGTCCTGATGGAACTGTTGGAGAGTTAGTTCTTCTTATAAAGAAACTTTTCTTTCAGTTAACTTATGAGCTGTAGTATGTTTATGTTTATCATGTGATGTGTTTTTTATGTTCTGAAGGTACACATGGATGACATATGCGGAAACAGCTTCTGCAAGACAAGCCATAGGTTCAGGACTTCTACATAATGAAATTAATCATGTAACTTTTCTTCTTCTTTGAATATGAAATTAGCGAGCTCCACCAAGATTCTCTAGTTTCATGCTTGTGCAGCCTATTCTTTCATCTCTGCCATAATGGAATTAATCATGTAAATTTTTGTTTAAGAATTCTCATATATTGAATAATTTTTTTTTCTTTAAGAATTTTTGTTTAAGAATTCTCATATGCCATTAACTATATATGCTTAAGAATTCTCATATATTGAATAATTTTTTTTTAAATATAATTTTTTTTTATTCATAAGAACCCGATCTTCGGGTTCTCTGATGGAATAGCAAATAATATACGGGTTCAACACTATTCATGGTCCCATCAAAAATATAATAAAAAATTCTAGTGAATTCCAAGTGGGGGTTCACTAATGGACATGCTCTAATAATGTTGAGAAAAAGAAAAAAAAACGATGATTTAATTACATTAACGTGTCTTCTTCACTAAAATGTCTCCGTCACTCACCAGAGGTTAAACTCACTCTAATTATCGGGGGGAAGCAAGAACCTCACCGACGAAAAAATCCCCGATCTCAGAAAAAAAAAACTGACTCGTAAAGGTGAAGCTTATCGTTAGAAATGGCGGTAGCCTTCCGTGTAGGCCGGAACGGCATCGGATCAGGACTCCGCAATTTCTTCACGTACCGGATCTTCATCTCCGCCTTGCTCTCTTTCCTCTTCCTTGCCACTTTCTCCGTCTTCCTAAACTCCTCTCGTCACCACCAGCCTCATCTCCATCACGTATAACCTTTATATCACAATTTCAAATAAAAAATTTAAGAAAGTTACGACACACAGCTCAAAATCCAGAAACTTAAAGATACAATCTTCGCTGTTCAAGAACAGTTGACAAAAGCTAAGAAAAACGGCGCCGTTGCGAGTTTGATATCAGTTAAGTCTGTTCCGAAGAATTTGAATTGTTTAGCTATGAGGCTTGTTGGTGAGAGGATCTCTAATCCTGAGAAGTATAAGGATGATGAAGATAGTGATGCTACTACGTTTTACTCGGATCCGAGTCTTTATCACTACGCGGTTTTCTCTGACAATGTGATCGCTGCTTCCGTTGTTGTGAGATCTGTTGTGATGAACGCTGAGGAGCCGAGGAAGCATGTGTTTCACGTGGTGACTGATAGGATGAATCTCGCGGCTATGAAGGTTTGGTTTAAGATGCGTCCTTTGGAACGTGGTGGACATGTTGAGATTAAGTCTGTTGAGGAGTTTAAGTTTTTGAACGCGTCTTATGCGCCCGTGTTGAGGCAGCTTGAGTCTGCTAAGTTGCAGAAGTTTTACTTTGAGAATCACGCGGAGAACGCGAATAACATCAAGTTCAAGAATCCGAAGTATCTCTCGGTGTTGAACCATCTGAGGTTTTATTTACCGGAGATGTATCCGAAGCTGGATAAGATGTTGTTCTTAGACGATGATGTTGTGGTGCAGAAAGATGTGACGGGGTTATGGAAGATTAATTTAGATGGGAAAGTGAATGGAGCTGTTGAGACGTGTTTTGGGTCTTTTCATCGGTATGGTCAATACTTAAATTTCTCTCATCCTTTGATTAAAGAGAGTTTAAACCCTAATGCTTGTGCTTGGGCCTTTGGGATGAATATATTTGATCTCAATGCTTGGAGGCGTGAGAAATGCACTGATCAGTACCATTATTGGCAGAACTTGGTAATGTCCGTATCTTTTTTTTTAGTAACTGATGCATATCAAAGCTCTTTACCTTTTGTTGATTATGTGTTGTCTTTGAGCAGAATGAAGACAGAACACTGTGGAAATTAGGTACTCTGCCTCCGGGACTGATCACGTTCTACTCAAAGACGAAATCACTGGACAAGTCATGGCATGTGCTAGGGTTAGGTTACAACCCGGGAGTGAGCATGGACGAGATTAAAAAAGCAGCAGTGATACATTACAATGGGAACATGAAACCATGGCTAGACATTGCTATGAACCAATACAAGTCTCTCTGGACTAAATATGTCGATAACGAAATGGAGTTTGTGCAGATGTGCAATTTTGGTCTTTAGAAAGAGAGAGATAAACAAAAACTGAAGAATGAAAGATATCGTTAGAGAGGTAACCTCAGAGTCGATATGTGTTCAGCCTTGCAGGACATTCTTAACTGATACGTTTTATCTTTTATATATATAGGGTTACAAAGTGTTTCGCTAGTTCGTTCTGATATGCAGTTGTCTTATTTATATTTTGTGTAACTCTATAACAGCAAAAGCTTTATCCAAAACAAATGTCTCTCCTTTTTTAGCTTTTTTTCATGCTAAACTATGTATTACCAAAATGTTAATCTTAACTTTTGACTTAAGATTGACATATTAAAAGAAATAGACTAGAGGATAGAACGCAATAAAGTATTTTATCATATGTTGATTTAGTTACATTTTATTACAATCATGATAATTTAACTACTTTATAATCACAGTAAGATTTCATAACACAGAATTGACCAGAGAATTTGATACACTTTCAAAGACATTAAAGAAAGGAAAAAAAAGTGAAACCCGTTATGGTTAAAAACTTAAATGTAGAGTTGAATTACTTAAACATCATCCCTCCTTAAACTTTATGGATGTACTATGCAATAAAAATTTAAACTCTATGGTCAAATACTATGAATTTTACTTATTTTGTTTAGAATTTTATATATGTTATTTACCTATCTTGTATTTCTATATCATCTCACCTCTTTGTTTGGATTTGATAGAAAATCATGAATAAGTTATCATTTTAAAATACAAGTTTTTATGGTCCTAGTTTTATTAAATATTCAATAATATTTTTAAAAACATAAGAAATTTTGATTCTAAAAATAAAAAACCTACATTATATTAGTTAAAAAATTGTATGAGATATTCAAGATGTTGTAATTGTTACTATATTTTATGAGAAAGCTCATTTTATTGTAATGAAATAAAATTAGCGGATGTAATGAATTTATAATTTGAAATGAATTTTTACAAATAAACAAACAAAAAAAAACTATCGATGGGCTATTAATAAAACGTAAGGCCCATGGACTGGAGAATGGTTATCCGAATGTTAACCATCGTTTCATTCGGTTACGACAGTGCCAAACTTTTCAAATTCCCTCACTCTCACAGAGACGCCCCACAGACACACGATGACTCCACCACTGCTGAAGCTCGCGTTCGTCCAAGGTCCAAGAGACGGCGAAACCTTACAATACAAACCCGGATCCACTATCCGAATCGGCCGAGTCGTCCGCGGAAACGAAATCGCAATCAAAGACGCCGGAATCTCCACGAAACACCTCCGAATCGTCTCCGATTCCGAGAACTGGATAATCCACGACCTCGGATCTTCCAACGGCACAATACTCAACTCCGAAACTCTCGATCCCGACACTCCCGTTACTCTCCGCCACGGAGACGTAATCAAGCTCGGCGAGTATTCCTCCATCGTAGTGAACTTCGAGATTGAGGAGGAGGAGGAGGAGGCTAAGCTTCCCCCGAAGCCGAGAAGGAACACCAGACGCGTTCCGGTTCCGGATCTGATTCCTAAGGAGAAGCCAAAGCGGAGAGGTAGATCTGCGAAGGAAGAGGAAGAACCTGAACCGGCGAAGAGAGCTAGGGTTACGAGGAGTAAAGTGGCGGTTACGAAGGAAGAGGAGGAAAAATCTGTTGCGGTGGAGAAGAAGGGGAACGTTAGGGGTCGTGGAGGAGGTAAGAAGAAGAGTGAGGCTGTTTTGAATTCAGTTAAATTGGAAGTTGAGGATACACCCAAGGGAGTGGAGATGTCAGGGGTGAAGAAGAGAGCGACGAGGAGCAGTAGGATGATTGTGAATGTGAAGAGTGAGGATACTTGTTTAGAGGAGGAGATGGGGAGACCTTTGAGAGCTACAAGGAGTAAGAGGAAAGAGATTGGTGGAGATTCTTTTCTGGATTTGGATATGGTTTTGAGCCAGGCACGTGCTAAGAGGAAGAAAGTGGAGCAGAAGAGTGTTGTTAAAGAGGTGGAAGCTAGAGATGAGGTTGTTGAAGAAGATAAGGAAGATGGAAAGGGTGTTGAAGCTCAGAAAGGGAGCAGTGAAACTAGTGATAAAGAAGTTGAGGAGGCATCTAAGAGGTTTGAGATTGAGTCAAGAAAGAGCACGTTAGGAGAAGATGATGTTGAGGAAGATAAGCAGAATGAAAAGGATGTTAGTGAAACTAGTGATAAAGATGATGAGACATCTAAGAGGGTCGAGATTGAGCCAAGAAAGAGCACATTAGGCGAAGAGGATGTTGTGGAAGATAAGCAAAATGAAAAGGGTGTTAGTGAAACAAGTGATAAAGAAGATGAGACATCTATAAGGGTCGAGATAGAATTAGGAAAGAGCACATTAGGAGAAGAGGATGTTGTGGAAGATAAGGAAAATGAAAAGGATGTGAGTGGAACAAGTGATAAAGAAGATGAGACATGTGAGAGGGTAGAGCAGACGGAGATTGAGTCAATGAAGAACACATTAGGAGAAGATGGAGAGGGAAAGAACTTACAAGATGCAGTCGACAGTGATGAGGCTGGAATTGAGACATCAGATGGTGGATGTAATAATGTAGAAGAAGAAAAGGCAGAGCAGGAATCCAGGAATGAGAAGAAGGATGTAGAGAAGGTGGATTTAGAGAAGATGACATTAGGAGACTGGTTTAAATACATGGAGGTGTACCTGCGGAAAAAGATAGTGGATGAGACGGAGGAGAAGATAGAGGCCATGAGAGCTAAATCTAGGAGAGTTCACCAATATATTGCAGAGCAGAAGGGAAAAGTTAATTTGTGACTTTGTTAGACCATCCCCGTGAGAGAACTATGACCTTATTTAAGTTAGGTAGATAACATCTTTTTATCGGCTAAAACGTTTTTCTTCTGGTATGGTATGAACCTCTTGTATGAGATTCTTTTAGAGCAAGTACCTGTATCTATATATAACTCGCTTGGTGCCAATCTACATTATGATTTTGCATCTACATATAACCTGCTTGGTGCCAATCCACAACTAACTACGAGTGCCTTCTACGTTGTTACTATTATGTGACTGCAATTGCCAATATTATATTTGATTTTGATCGAATCACCCACACATGTAATAAAAAATTATAGATCTTACTCCGTCAAAAGGGAGTTACTCAAATACCTCTAAATTAGTTATCAAAAGAAAGTCAAAATCTTTAGTGGCATCATGTATATTTCATAACCATAAAACGTACAAGGAGAAGAAGAATCTACTTGACGGTGAAATCTGAAACGAAACATAAGACTGTTGAAAGCTAACTTTTGTTTTGTTTTTGAAAGGTTTCAAAAGCCACCTCTGCAATTTGTTTGTTTTTCACCTGAACCACCATCTCTGAACGGCAGTGACCGGAGTATTCAAGAATGGAGCATAACGTTGGATCATCGGATTCACCGTCCTCCCGATTTTGCTCCACGTGCTCTGGTGGTAACCTGCTGTTACTGGTGCTTGATACATCAGCTTCAATAGCTGCCAAAAACCAAAAAAACTCACGTTTAATGTTTGATTCGAACCAGAAGTAGAGTAAGAAAAACATTTGAATGGACGTACCTGCCAGTACATGAATGTCTGTATAAAGTTGCGTTGCCACCTGCAGTAAGTAAAACGACAAAGTTTGATCAGATGAGTGAAAACGAGTTAATGCAATTCTAACCAGAGCACTGACAAGATTCTATTATGAACTCGATTCACATCAAAGGGCTAGAGAATAAACTATTTTTGCTTCTTAAAGGAAGAAAGAGCGTACGAGAGCAGAGAGATAACGAGAAGGAAGCCAATGGCTATCTCAGCCTGCGATGAGAGGATGTTGAGAGTAGTTGTGTTTGACTCCACCCACACACAAGGGTCTTCCAAGTACTTTCTAATTAGACATTACAAAAACAGGACACAGGGAATGACTTAAACATCGGTAAGAATCCACAAATGAAAAGGAGTAATACGATCAAACCTGCTGATCAGCAAACTACCTGTATATGGTGGAGCGAGCGAAGTTACGCCTCAAGAACTTGGCCACTAGCTCAAGTGCTCGACACAAGATGGGAATCAAAGCAACTGCGACAAATTGATAAGAAGACTCTAGTAATAAGAATGTATATAAACTGAAGAAACTTACACCAAAAGAAGAAAACAAAGTAATCAGCTCTTACACTTGAGACAGAGATTTGAAGTGACAAATGTAAGGCAATAGATGAAACAGATGAAATCCTTTGCTCCTACAATTGATTGAAAATAAACTTGCAGCCCTTGCATATTCCATGCCCTTGGCCTCTGCAGATAACAAAAATCAGCTTACAAAAGGAGATTCAACATCGTATGGTAGAGTAGAAATGGGATAATCACATGGCTTACCCCGTAAACAGAGTACAACGAGTATAGAGATGAGCACGCAGTTCCCATGAAGGATAGACGATAAGCCCTATTTGAGAGGTACTGAGGTACGATAGGCAACACTGCCAGCACAGCTATAACGAAAACCTGCAAAAGATGAAACTGATTACATGATCTGACACGGGAAAAATTAGTTAAGTATGCCAGACAAAACCATTTATTGTTCATTAGTTCATATCTGCAGTAAACCACACACATAAAGACATGAGAAAGAAGACAAAAATGCACCATACAACATCTCCTTACTGTCCTTGTAAAGGAGTCAACAGCAGAGAGCAACAGTAGGTAGTTAGAATTGTGTTTATAAACAAAAAAAAAGCCGTACGTAACGACTTTCAACAAAATGAATGCAGTTCATTGCATAAGGAGTGATTCTGATCAATAAAATATGAGGTAAGGAAACATTAAAAGATACTGCAACAGGAAAAACACCATCTTAGTTCTTACCCAAGCATTGATAGAGAACTGGATAGTCTGCTGATCCCAACGCACTGAACTTGAGTTTGTACCTGTTGTAGCAGATGGCCCAGAGGTTCGAGGAACCGATCCTGAGGCACAAAGTTTAGTCAGTGTTTAGTAGTAACTAAGAAGAAAGCTCACACATCCTGTAGAATAAATTGAAAAAAAGTTAACCTGAGTTACGTGGACGAGCTTGTTCAGTTGAATTCCCAGACGCAGTTGAGGATGCAGAAGGTCTAGCAGATTGAGAGGAAGAAGAAGTCGACATAGGCTCCACAACAAAATCAGGATCCTACACAAATCCAAGGCAGTGTTAACCACGCAGATTTAGAAACAAATCGAGACACAATACGTTTGAAATCTTCATAGGGAAAAGCGATATCGGATCTCCACAAGTTCCAAAGAAAATGCTATCAACAAATCCACCACAGTTTTTTCAATAACCTAATCCAAATCACATCGAGATATGAACTCGACTCAACTGCAATACACTAATTAAACCTAAGTTCACACCAAAATCCCTCGAAATCAGTAGCTAAAACGCACACAGATCGAACTCAAAACTCAATGTATGAACAGTAGAGAAGCAAATTCAAGATCAAAAGATAGTACAGACCTCGAAGCGTTGATAGAATTTGCGCTTGTAATGCTCGATGACTTCGGGACGAGAAGCCATGTGAGGAGGGATGAGAATGTTTGACCAGTAATCCTTCCATCGAGCGTCGTTCTCGTAGTCGTACGCTGCCGCCGCTATCTTCTTCAATCTCTGAGGATCTTCCGCCATCGAATTCGATCGCTCTCTAAATTTTCGCCGGAGAGATTCGACCTTTTTTTTTTTGTGGTTTTTAGTTTTTAATTTTAGTCCACTTTCTCCTTCTACTGTAGAGGAATCTTTCCGAAACGACGCCGTTCAGAGAGTCTGACTACTATCTATATAAAGCTGCAGCTTCTTTCACAAGCAATGTTGTAACACGGTCATTCTTCTTCCTAATTGCTTTCTAGGAACGTCATGTTACTGGAAACATAACTCAAAATAACTCAAAGTATCTGAGATATATTGAGTTACATTTTCTGTAAAGTTTAGAACCCCGCAGTTAAATTATATATATATATAATTAATAGGGGCGGACGCACAGTCACCGGTATGGTGTCACATGACCCCGTCTAATTTTTAATTTTTCTATAGTACTACGTAAAAATTCTAAGAAATGTTCAATCTAGAAAATTATACATAATGAAAAAAGTTCATGTGACCCTATCTAAATAGAATCTTACATCCGCCCCTAAATATATATATAACTAGAGCAAACCCGCCCTACGGGCGGGCGAACAACTAAATTTAATAATAAAAATTGATTTTGAATGTCTGATTTATTTTTAACTAAAAGTAGAATTAACATTTCTTACAACAGTTACACAATTTATTTTACTGTAGACTTAAAAATATAATTATTTTCTTTTAATTTTTATTCTAATTTAACTATAACAATAGGTTACAAAAAGACTTCAAATTACAGTTTATTGGAAAAGTTATTTTTGCTCTCAGTTATATATTTGTTTCATGATTTAAATTGTGTTTTATAAATTATTTCTTAGAACTAATGATATACACGATATAAAAGAAGTAACTTATTCATTATAACTAAAAATATTTAAAGATTTATAAATAAAAAATATGAAAATATCTTTTATATAATACATGTTTGTTAGAATCTTATAGGTATTATAATAATAATTATATTTTGAAATAAATATAACTGACTTTTTTGTCACAAAAATAAATATTACTGACTTAACTTATAAAATATAATCCTTGGAATAAATTTATTATATACGGACTTGTATTGATTATGTTTTATTGTTGAATAAAATTATTTCTTTTGCTTAATAGATATCTCTATATATGCAAAGTTAAATTATGTAAATTGACTATGATAATGATTTAGCATACATGTATCAGATGTAGATGATAAAGACGTTTGTTACAGAAGAGTTTGTTACAGAAGACGGTTGCTTAATGTTAGACAATTATTACAGAAGACTCAAGGCAAGAAATTGTTCTGCTTCATTGCCTCTTCAGCAAACTTCAGATGAGTACTGATGCAGTTCATGAATCTCAAATGCCGTTTTGGATAGGATTTGGCAGAGTTTTCTTAGATCACAATACATGTCCTCAGCTATCCTCTCGTAAGCCTCATAATCCAGCAGATGACCAGCATCAGCAGCCAGGATATTGGTGAGCTTTGTTATGTCACCATAGAAACTCAAAGAAAACAGTTTCGTCCGGGTCAGCAGCAACAGTCATCTCCACACAATACCTAATAGACATGGTACAATGTTTTAGATACATTTTTATAAAGAAACAACTAAAACCGCTGTGTACCTGAGAACACCAAGGTCATCACTCTGATAGCAGAACATGCATGCAAACGATGAGGAATCCTCTGAAGTTTCCTTGCACACTTGGAGCAAGATATGTAGCACCATACATTTATATGAGTACATAATACTTTACCAGTGCAGATACATTCTATTTTATGCAATAATGGATGTTGCAATCATAAACAGAACATAGAATGATGGTGGAGACAAACCTATTAAAGGTTGTTAGTGAACCTAAGGCTTGGCTGTGATGACAAACTGGCTAAGCTCAGCTATTGTCAGTGGCTCAATCTTGGCATAGCCTCTCAACAATGAAGCTGTTGATGTATTCCCATTGTCGTTAGTGACCAACCAGCAATGATTAGAGTATCCTGTGAGAGTATGTTCCATATATAATTTTACAAAACGTATAATGATGTAATAAAATATGAACGATCAGTTCTTAATTGTAAAAGTAGCTCTCAACAAAAACTTATGGCGAATAATGTTACAACAATGATCATATCCCAAGTAAGTAACAAAACTTCAGGAGAATATTTTTTTATAACAGAGACATGAATAAATTGATCTCCGGTGAAGAACTATTAGGTTTGAAAGTTTTGTAATATAAACATGGACAACGCTAGGAAGAACAAAAAAAAAAAACAGAGAACAACAACATAATCAAGTCAGAGTTACCTTAGCGTCCAGGAGGAGAGAGGAATTACCTCACCGCCGCGCTTAATATTCATAGCTTCTCAGAACCTTAAGCAAACGGACCGCTGCAAATCGGCCAGAAGGACAGAGGAATTATCCATTATGAAAATTGTTTATTAGAAAACTTATGAATGTGAAAAAAGAACTAATGCATTTCATGGGGTCAACTCAAGCAAACCTTTTTATATTTGAAGTTTCTGGTGGAGTCAGTAAATGAGAAGCATTGGAGGATATATTGACGATGGTTGAAGACGAAATCATCAAACGCGGCCACCACTCAACCACTGTCACCTACAAAGAAAAAAATCTTCAAGAACCACGCCGCTGCGATTGGAGGTCATGCGCTCGACTTCATGCCGTCTCCTTCCTCCACACCTTCCGATCCAACTTCCCTCGAGTGTGCCGCCTGCGTTTGCCGCCGTAACGTCCACCGCCGTGACCCTGACGATTCCTCACTCACTTCCGCCGTGACTCCACCGTATCTCCCTCCATCTTCCACCACCGATTAAATAGAGTACCAATATCACACCGTCAATTAACATCCTTTGCTTCCCAGAATATCAGAAGGCGGTGTCTGAACAAAGTCTTCAAACCAGAGAGAAGAGTGTAAGAATCCATCGCAGGGATGAAATCAAAGTCGAGCTTCCGACGGTTACTAATGAGGCTGAGTTGGTGCAAAAGAGTGAGGGGATTCACTTTTATGCTTGGGTAAATGGATCTGCTTGCCTAAGTAGGTTTCAGATTCCAAGAGTCAAGTCAAGTCGCTTGAAAGCAGAAGCTGGGACGAATGTTAACCAAACCTTAATATCAATTGGGCCTCAGAGAAAATAGCCCAAATAACAAAGCTCGTGTCTCAAAAATGAAAGAAGGCGAGAAACATGATGCCACGTGGAGGAAAACCCCCCTCCTATTTGATGATGTGGACAGCTTGAAAAGGCAGATATCTCTACTTTATTAGTATAGATATTTTAGATATTTAATTTGAAGTAGATATCCTCAATGGAGATGTTCTTAGATCGGTAAAGATCATTGTTTTAGAGCAGCACTATTCAACTTCAGAGCTATCTCTGCTTCATGTTTGCTGGTGATATGAAACCTCTATTAGGCAACACGAGCTTAATTTTCTCTCGTTTTAGAAAATAGGAATGTTGCATTAGTTGTGACGAATGTATACCAAGTTGGCACCAGATAATCAAAGAACTATTATATGATCAATCAAATAAAAAAATGATTAATTAAGATACTAAACGGTGTCGTTTCGTGCGGATTTCACTCATCTTTTCGCTCACATGTTCTTTCTCTGGAAAGAAAGAAAAAGTTTCTCAAGCGGATGAAAACTTCAACGGATTGGTACATCTCTAATACACGTACGAGTTCTTAATGACCTGATATGATCTCCAACGTTTTATTTCTTCCATTTTCGTTATCTTCTTCAGCTTCTTCTCGAAATTCAATTGTATTATTCGTCTAATTTGATCGGAAGCATCGAGAATTTGGGAACGAATCTTTTGAATATTGATCCGATCAAACGTTTTGGTGAGTGTTAGTTTTCCTGGATCTTAAAACTTTAGTTTGTTACAGGTCGTCTTCGTTTAGTAGTAAGAGCTGTTGTCCATGGATTTTATTTGTTTCTTCTGTGTTCTTTGGAATGTTAATCTTAGTGAATGTCTTTAGGTTTTGTCTGTTAATGAATTTCTATTATTGTAGGGTTTTGGGAATGTTAATCTTAGTGAATGTCTATGATTGTGACATTATCCAGCTTGATCACAATCTTTTGAGGAAGGAGACTGATAATTGCTTTACACTAATGCTAGGAGGAGTCTCTTCAGGTTAGTAGAATGAGTAGAAAGAGAACAGAAAACGACACTGAGTCAAGTGCAGCAGCCACTCCGGTGGATAGATTCGGGTTCCTGAAGCAAGAACATGCCAATTCACCAGAGCGTTTCAGCAAGGGTAGAACAGCAGCATCCACTGACCATGACAGGTATGTTCTTAGGAAAAGTGAATTTAGAGATTTTCAGAGTGGGAGATATATAAGAATGATAGTGTGTTACTGTTGTTGGTTATAGAGAGGAGAGGAAGTTGAGAAAATGGAGGAAGATGATTGGGGTTGGAGGTAGTGACTGGAAGCATTACGTTAGAAGGAAACCTAATGTTGTCAAGAGGCGTATTCGAAAAGGGATCCCTGATTGTTTAAGAGGTCTTGTTTGGCAGTTAATCTCTGGAAGCCGTGACCTTTTGCTTATGAATCCTGGTGTTTATGAGGTATACTTTCCCAGTATTATATCACATTACATTGTTTTCTCATATGTTCTGACAGATCTAAACAATTTTTTTTGTACAGCAATTGGTGATTTACGAGACATCGGCATCAGAACTTGATATCATTCGAGACATATCCCGTACTTTCCCATCCCATGTTTTCTTTCAGAAGAGGCATGGTCCTGGACAAAGATCGCTATACAATGTCCTTAAGGCCTACTCAGTTTATGACAGAGATGTTGGATATGTTCAGGTCTATCCTCTGAGATATATCACTTGTTTTTGGTTTTCTTATAGTCTGGTACTAAGATCCATTGTTCTGATAACTTCAGGGGATGGGTTTTATAGCTGGTCTGTTACTTCTTTATATGAGCGAAGAAGATGCGTTCTGGTTATTAGTTGCGTTACTCAAAGGAGCTGTTCATGCTCCAATGGAAGGATTGTATCATGTAAGTCTTTTAATAGTTGAGAGGAAAAAGAATTTGATTATCCGTGAATTAGAAATTTTGTGACAACTTTCTTCTGAATATTATGTGGGTTTGTGCTTATAACGATTAAGGTGAGAGTTAATCATCATTTTGTTATGAATGGCCTATCCAATATAAAAGGCTATTGATCTTACTTCTTTCATTCCGTGATTTTGAAAATAGTTGATGTCTCAGACGCAAAAGTGTCAACATTTCATATATTTATCAACAGAAAAGGTTACATAGGTTATGGTCAGCATTCGATAATCTAAGAGCCATTGCTTGTGGTGTAATGTAGGCGGGGCTTCCTCTTGTACAACAATACCTGTTTCAGTTAGAAAGCTTGGTAAAGGAGCTAATTCCAAAGCTAGGAGAACATTTTACCCATGAAATGATCAATCCTAGCATGTATGCAAGTCAATGGTTCATCACCGTCTTCTCTTATTCATTTCCTTTCCCTTTGGCTCTTAGGATATGGGATGTGTTTCTCTCTGAGGTAAATTTGTAAGGATCTCTTTCAGTATTTTGCTGTAATCAAAGTCTTATTGTTTTATTTTCTTTGGTCATTGTTTCTTTAGGGAGTTAAAATTGTGTTCAAAGTCGGCTTAGCATTGTTGAAGTATTGCCAAGCTGAGCTGGTAACTGAAGCTTTCTTTACGAGCTGCAAGTTAACAGAGCTTCTTCCTTTTATTTAACTGTATCCCATATTAACTTTGCAGGTAAAATTACCGTTTGAAAAACTCATACATGCACTGAAAACATTCCCTGAAGATGCAATGAATCCGGATACCTTACTTCCATTGGCCTACCCCATTAAGGTTCTCTTTCTTTCTCTATTATCTTCTGGTTTATGTAACTGTAGAATTTTAAACAGGCACTGAATGAATTAGATTCGTGAACTTACATCTAATGATTAACTTGATAAATAGTTTTATCTTACCTCTAAGTGAATAATGAAGGCTTTGAGTTGATTAACAACAGTGGTATTAAATGCTTTGTTCATCCTCAGGTATCAAAGCGTTTGGAAGAACTGAAAGTGGAATATGATAAGACTAATGCTAAACCTGTTCTACCGTAAGAAAACTGGTTAGGCCAATATCCTGTACACATAAGCTTGGATTCGAATTCTTTACTGGTCCTTTTTTATCTTATCTTATTGGAATATATTCATCTTTCATCATATATGTCAAGTTGGGTGGGACTCTCTTTTTCAGAAACCGCTCTGATTCTTCTTAGCAACTTCTGGGAAATAAGAAGTTTATATACCTGCCCCAACTTTGTGTATACTAACTTTTGCTTTGTAGAAAAAAATCTCATTATTATAAATGTGAAAGGTATTAATCATGTTGTTTAAAATCTTTTGTTAAGCATATGCTTGTACAAAATCTCAAAAAGTTTAATACCTCTTTGACAAGAAACAAAAATTTACTTGTTGATTGGACTAACTTTTACATTAATTTATTTATGTTACTGTTGACAAATGGATTCATGAGTCAGGAGGTGAGTCACGGGAGGGTCGTTTTTTTGTAATTTAGCGGAAAGCCTTTGAGAATAGAAAATAGAATTTGATTCTCTGGGCCCACGTTACGTGACAGCCCACCTCGAGTTATCCGCACAAAGAGTGCACGTATCTTAACACGTGTCGTTAATTGATTGGTTGAGATTTTCTCTGTCTTTAGCGTAAACTAGTAATAATGTGGTTATTCTAGGCCGAAGATAATGTCAAATATAGATGTTTGAAACAATTGCTAGAATTAAATAACTTTGCTAGTGGCAGCTGGAAAAACAATTAAATACTACTGTAAAGGTATTTTTATTTAATTTTAGATTTGTTGCTTGAATTATCTGTGGTCAAGAATCGTGATTCACGCACCTACCGTTTCCACATAACTCAAAAGGGGTAATAGGTAATTTTGACAGAGCTTGAAACTTTGCAAACTGTTGAGAAAAAACAAAATAAAAATGAACGGTTGAGGAGAGTGCGTTACGCAATTGTAACGCGGAAACCTTTAAATAGGTTTAAGGGTAAATAGGTAAATCCCTGTGGTGGGTAAGTCATTATATAAAGGAGTGTTTCTACGTTGCTTTTCTCTTCACGAAAGCTTCTCATTGCCTCATCATTACCAAATCATCATCAATCTTCCTTCTCTCAAATTAGGTTTTCTCTTTCGATAATCAAAGATCTGGTAAAGCTTTTATCTCTTTCTCAATTCTTCTTTCTAGATCTGATCGTTGTTACTTTTACACAATTGTTATCTAAGACTCATCGATTGTTTGGTCTTTCAGGTTTGAAAGTTTCGTTCATATCTAGAAAAGAAGGGATTCGTAAATTCTGGTCTGGATCTAAATTCATATACATATACGTAAGTAACTCAAACGTCTTGGCTACTCTTTCGATTGATTTACATATATATTATTGACTTTTTGTACAAGCGCTTCATCATTCTGAGCGATATTGATATTCATTATGATGATATGATTGAGTTTATATCTGGATCGAACGATTTAGTGGTTGATTAGCATTTAAAGATAACAATTCTTATTAAAGATTAATCCTAGTCTTAGGTTCATAATAGTTATAGATCCTATGAAACAATTTGATCATCTAGTCATCTGCTAAACCGATATTATTGTATAAATTAGCGTTTATTTGAGATATGTTATTGAAATTTTAAAGCTTTGAGGTTGTGTCTGGTTCCTCTTCACCTAACCATGTTTTTTTTATTACCTAATTAATATTTATTTGCATGTTACGAGTAATTTTATATGTAGATCAAAGGACTTAGGTTTTGATTGACATAATTGTGGTACATATAGATAACAACTTGTTAATTAAGGATTAGCCTTAATTTATATATAGTCTCATAGTAAACATTTTAATCATGTCTCATATGATTAAATATGCTATAATGAGTAAACGTTTATTCAGATCTGTTGTTGAATTTGTGAAACTTTAAACATTAAGCCTGAGCTTTGTTTCTCTTTGTCTAAAACATGTGGTTTGTTTTGGTCTTGTAATGACAGAAAGCGTGAATGAGATTATGATGGAGTCGAAAGGTGGTAAAAAGAAGTCCAGCAGTAGTAGTTCCTTATTTTACGAAGCTCCCCTCGGTTACAGCATTGAAGACGTTCGCCCAAACGGTGGTATCAAGAAATTCAAATCTTCTGTCTACTCCAACGTAATCACTTCTTCCCATCATTTTTATTACTCTACCATTTATGACAGTAACAAGTTTCTTAACGAATGTTTTTTTGTTTTCTTTTGCAGTGCGCTAAGAGGCCATCCTGAGTTGTAGCGTGCACCGAGTTCTCCTATTATAGTTATAGCTTTCTTTAATTTCCAGTTTATAATTTACTTTTTTTCAAGCTCCGTTTCTGCTGGTTCCCAACTCCAATCGTTCTCTCCTCCTACAACAACTAGTTCACACAACATCAAGGCGACATGGCCTTATCTGCAATCGGTTTTGAAGGCTACGAGAAGCGGCTCGAGGTCTCTTTCTTCGAGCCAAGCATCTTTCAAGACTCTAAGGGACTTGGTCTCCGTGCTCTGACCAGGTCCCAGCTTGACGAAATACTCACTCCTGCTGCATGTGAGATCGTTTCTTTTCTCTCCAACGATCACTTGGACTCTTACGTCCTCTCTGAGTCGAGCTTCTTTGTCTACCCTTACAAAGTCATCATCAAGACTTGTGGCACCACCAAGCTCCTCCTCTCTATCCCGCCTCTTCTTAAGCTGGCCGGTGAGCTCTCTCTGTGTGTCAAATCTGTCAAGTACACTCGTGGCTCCTTCCTCTGCCCTGGCGGCCAGCCTTTTCCTCACAGGAGCTTCTCTGAAGAAGTCTCTGTACTTGATGGTCACTTTACTAAGCTGGGTTTGAACAGCGTTGCCTACTTGATGGGTAATGATGATGAGAATAAGCAATGGCATGTCTACGCTGCCTCTGCCCAGACCACCAGCGACTGCAACAACAATGTCTACACTCTTGAGATGTGCATGACTGGTCTAGACAGGGAGAAGGCTTCTGTCTTCTACAAGAATGAGACTGGCGAGAATGGATCAATGACTGACAACTCTGGAATCCGAAAGATCCTCCCTAACTCCCAGATCTGCGACTTTGAGTTTGAGCCCTGTGGCTACTCTATGAACTCCATTGAAGGAGATGCAATCTCCACTATCCATGTGACCCCTGAGGATGGGTTTAGCTACGCTAGCTTCGAAGCTGTGGGTTATGACTTCAACACTATGGACCTGAGCCAGCTGGTGACTAGGGTTCTCTCTTGCTTTGAGCCCAAGCAATTCTCTGTGGCGGTGCACTCGAGCGTTGGGGTGAACGCGTACAAGCCGGAGATCAGTGTAGACTTGGAAGACTATGGGTGCAGAGAGAGGACATTTGAGTCTCTAGGAGAAGAGAGTGGAACTGTCATGTATCAGACGTTTGAGAAGCTTGGCAAGTACTGTGGATCGCCTAGATCTACCTTGAAGTGTGAGTGGAGCAGCAACAATAGCTGCAGCAGCGAGGACGAGAAGGACGAGGGAATCTAGCAGAACTATTTATGAGCTTTATGTTTTATGCATCTTTTTTTTTTATTAATGAATAAGGACTTGTGAAGTTGAGGCTACTCTCCTTCACAAGAATGTGTGCTGTGTGTTTCGTACTTTATATGTTTGGGTTTTTTAATATATGAAAGACTATTATGTTTGCTATTATAAATTTCAACTTCTTACATTATTTGCATGTTTTCTTTTGTTGTCGACAATTGAATGAAGAAAATGTGAGTGACCATTAACTTGGATCACACTGCAACAAGATTTTATCTCGAAGTCTCATAAAAAGTGCCCACTGCTCCTTCAGAAACTTGACAGAGATGATAGTCTTGTTGTGCCTGATGTTAATGACACGAATCTTGTTGTACATTTCAGGACACCATAGTCTTCTTACAGCTGCTATGTTAATAAACACAACACTGTACCATTCATTACAGGTTCCTCAAACACCATCTTTAGAGTACTTTCTCCTCTCATTCTCAATCCGTTTCCTCCAATTCCTCTCTCGAAGGCCTTGATGAAGAAACCATCCAAAGCAGTCATTTGGCCACATGAACATACAAAGTTTCATGTAATCAAACTTTAACATCCTCCAGCAACATAAGAATGATTCGTTCCTCGAATACAAAACTTACAAGTAGAAAACGTGTCGTTTTCGGATCAGAGATCGAGAAAAACCACGTACGTAAGAAGCCTTTTATGTCCTGGTCAAACGATTAACCAACACGTGGATGCATCACGTTACGACGGAAGCAATAGTGTCGAACAAATCCGCGTGTCCTCAACACGTGGAGGCATGCGAGCACGTCCCTTTAGTTATAAATAACAACTCAAAACTCCAACAATTTTCTCATCATCAAAACACATAAACAACCAATCAATCAAAGTATCAAAATCAAGTTTAAGAAAAAAAAACGAGAGAGAAAGAAAATGTCAGACAACAAGCAAAACCTAAGCTACCAAGCCGGTCAAGCCACTGGCCAGACTAAGGTCCCTCTCTATCCAACTTTTGCAATAAATCTCTCATACTTAAGCTATGATATACTTTAAATGTATTTTTTTGCTTTGAATTAAATCAAATTTGGCAAAAAATGTTGTTGTATACTATTAATGTGTTAATATGTATGAAAACAGGAGAAGGCAAGTGGGGTGATGGACAAGGCCAAAGATGCTGCTGCTTCAGCTCAAGACTCCATGCAACAGGTTCACTTTAGCTTTTCATCATCTCATATTATATATTCGCTTTTTACAGAATAGTATTAGACATACACATATATACGGTCCTAACCATAAATGTAATTCATAGACTGGACAACAGATGAAGCAGAAGGTACAAGGAGCTGCTGACGTGGTCAAGGACAAAACCGGCATGAACAAGAACACCTAATAACTTTCAATTTCCTTTCTAGTCAATTCCTCTCCTGGAGTTATTTAATAAATTTGAGGGGGATGGGTTTGAATCTCGTTCCTGTGTTCTTCTGATGTTATTTCCCTTTCTGTATGTTTTATGTAACCTTCTCAATATAGTCAATAAAATATCTGTTTTTCTAATGTGATATCAGTATATATTAAGGACATAAAACAGAGGAATCAAGAACTATTTGAACAAAAAAAAAGGAATCAAGAACTATATAACTCAAATAATTAGTTAAACGACTGAAAATACATAATGTAAAATCATGCTTGGATCACAGTATATAACTCATCAAATTTGAATACATGGTATATTTACTGATCAGTGAAAAAGAGTGAGATATGGTAGTGATAATGTTGGCATTGGATCTTAAAATGGGGTGATTATCAATCAATTGAGAAAGTTGCGGCTAAAGTAGAAAAGGATAAGAAGTTGAGGACTAAAATCGAATTTAGAATCAAATGTGTGGATACCTTCGGATACGTTCAGAGGTTTCTAGTTTTAAAATCAAAATTAGAAAGAAAAAAAATCCTGTCTAAAACCCTAAACATTTTCCTCCAGCTTCGCCATCGCTGCTCACCTCCTTTCGTCCAAAAGATCCGAACTTTAGATTCAGATCGAGCTAATAAGAGAAACCCAATTGAAACAACGATGAGGCATCAATGCCGGTTGCTTCTCTTACGAAGTTACCGCTCCTCTCCTCGTCCTCCACTTCCTTCTCATCACTCCCGTCTCCAGGTAATCTCCAATTCAACCCAATCCTTCACTTCTTCCCTCCACGAACCCTCTAGGCTTCCACCTCTGCAACAAAGCCAATCTCTTTACTCCTTTCAACCGAACTCTCTTAACAACCGAAGCTTTTCATCTAAACCCGTAATCAAAGAGAAACCTTCTCATGAAGCCATTGTGATTAACATTTTCACCAGATTGAGTAGTAAAGATGAGATTAACAAAGAGCTTGAATCCAACGGTATTGTAATCAGCCACGACTTAGCTTTAAAAACTCTAAAATCACTCGAATCAACCCCTGATGTAGCAGAGAGGTTTTTCAATTGGGTTCTAGAAGCTTCTCCTAAGAAACTCTCATCCAAAAGCTACAACACGATGCTGCTTACTCTCGGTGTTAATGGTCTCGTTGATGAGTTTTGGAGTTTGGTTGATGAAATGAAGAAGAAAGGGCATGGTGTATCAGGTAACGTTAGAGACAGAGTAGGTGAGAAGTTTCAGGAAGATGGGTGTGAAGGTGATTTGAATAGGCTTAAGGAGCTTTTCGCTTCGGGTTCTATGGATAACTCTGTTGATAAGGTTTGTAATAGAGTGTGTAAGATTGTGATGAAGGATGATCAGTGGAATGGTGAGTTGGAGAAACAGCTTAGGGATTTGAAGCTTGAGTTTGGGAGTGATTTGGTGAAGATGGTTGTGGAGAAACTTGACGTGGAGCCGAGGAAGGCTTTGTTGTTTTTCCGGTGGGTGGATGAGTCTGGTGGTTTTAAGCATGATGAGAAGACGTATAATGCAATGGCTAGGGTTTTGGGGAAAGAGAAGTTTCTTGATAGGTTTTGGGGTCTTATTGGAGAGATTAGGAGTGGTGGTTACGAGATGGAGATGGAGACTTATGTTAGGGTTTCAGCGAGGTTCTGTCAGGGGAGAATGATTAGAGAAGCTGTGGAGTTGTTTGAGTTTGCAATGAAGGGGAGGAACACGCCTACAGGGCAGTGCTGTTGTTTACTTCTCAAGAAGATTGTCACTAATAAGAAGTTGGATATGGATTTGTTTGAGAGAACTGTAAAAGCTTATACAGGAAATGGTAACGTGATGACGGATGCGATGCTGCAGAGTGTTCTCAAGTCTTTGAGAAGCGTTGATAGGTTTGAGCAGAGTAATGAGGTGTTGAAAGCGTTGAAAGAAGGTGGTTATATCCCTAGCGGTGATCTGCAGAGTGTGATAGCGTCGGGGCTTAGTCGTAAGGGAAAGAAAGATGAAGCTAATGAGCTTGTGGACTTCATGGAAGCCTCTGGAGATCATCTTGATGACAAAGCAATGGCATCTTTAGTTGAAGGGCATTGTGATGCCAAGAATCTAGAGGAAGCTTCAGAGTGTTTCAAGAAGATGATTGGTAAAGAGGGAGTCTCTTATGCCGGCTACGCTTTTGAGAAGCTTGTACTTGCTTATTGCAATGGTTTTCAGGCAAGAGATGCATACAAGCTTTTCACCGAGCTAGTGAAACAGAACCAGTTGAAGCCTTGGCACAGTACTTACAAGATTATGGTGAGGAATCTATTGATGAAGAAGGTAGCGAGAGATGGTGGGTTTGAAGAAGCTTTGAGTCTTCTACCTATGATGAGAAATCACGGTTTCCCTCCTTTCGTGGACCCGTTCATAGATTACTTATGTAATAGTGGAACAGGAGCAGAAGCTTTTGCGTTTCTGAAGGCTTTGACTTCTAAGAAGTTTCCATCTAACTTGATGGTTCTGCGTGTGTTGGAAGCTATGTTGAAGTCTGCAAGGCATAGTGAAGCTCAGGATTTACTGGCTCTGTGCCCCAGTTATATCCGTCGAAATGCAGATGTTCTGCAACTTTTCAGTTCCATGAAACCTGATCAGTGTTCTTTAGAGAAACCTTTGCCTGCACCCGCTCAAATCGAAGCTTAGGCAAAGAATGTTTGGGATGATGAATTAAAAGCTTAGGCAGAGAATGTAACAGAGTCGTTAGGTTTTCGTGAACTTGATGCACTGGAAGATCAGTCTCTGTTTTTCTATTTTTGAGAAAGTCTTGAAGCTTCACATTTGGCTGTATAGAGAGCTAAACTCCCTGTTTAGTCTTTTATCTCAGTATTAAAAGGTTATATTTGGTAGAAAGCATATTTGATTAAAAAGTCCACCGAAAATTACAATTTTGAAAATATTAACGCTAACGGGATTCACCATAAAATCAAATAATATAATGTTAACTAATTTTAATGAAATCTTTATCAAATACAAATAGATTTATATAACTTTTAATACTATGACTTTTACAATGTAAATTCTACAAAAAAATTAATTCTTATTTTTAAGTACTTTCCTTTAATATTATGATTAAAATTTAAACTGTAAAATCTATGAATTGTATGTAAAGTTACTTAAATATAATTTTACTATTTAGAGAATAATGAGTCTAATAATTTACTTAACTACAATATAGTAAGTGTTTTTATTTGGGTGACTAATGTCTTTTCACACGTATATTGTGCTACTAATATTAGAGTTTTTTAATATTATAAAATAATTAATAAAATAATATGGAGGGGCATTCTCAAATTTAAAAGATATTTGTAATTTTTGAAATATATTTAAAAGTCATAATAAGATCCAAAATACATTTTATAATTGTGAGGGTAACATTCAAATTTAAAAGATACCACTATTTACAATTCTAAATATATTATTTTAGAACACAATCCATCCTTTCAAAAGCATCATGTCACACACATTATTTAACTTTACATACACATTATATATATATATATATATATATATATATATATATATATTTGTGTGAAACAAATAGTCAAGTATATGCGATTTTACATGTTGAAAAATGCATAGTGAGTAATTACTGGATGTAATAAATATATATATATATATATATATATATATATATATATTGTCTTTATCATAAACAAATTCTGTAAAGATTCTGTAAACTAAACTGTTAACTAAATCTTATATATAATAGTACATTTTCAAGATTTTTCAAGGTGTTTACTTCATCATTTTATGAATCCCGTACCTTTAATTTTTAAAATTCCTAAGTTTTTATAAAATGATTAAAAATAATGAATACAGTTTAGCCAAGTGATATAAGACATCTAATTAAGTCTACAAAGTGTGTGGATTCAAACGACGCAGCTGTTATGTATTTTAGTTTTTTTCGAGTTTGTTATCATATTGGTATTTTATTTTTAAAAATTTTAATGTTTTTTTTCTCAAGGCTTATTGTTTAAAGTCCAAAATACAAAACAATTAAAAATAGATAAAAAACATTAAAAATGTTTTCTATTAGAACATATTTCCTAATAGATAAAAACAATTAAAAATAGATAAAAAAAGAACAACCCAAAAAATAAAAAATAAAAACAAAACGAGTCTCACGCGGCACTATCATGTCCTAATATATATTTTCTATTAGAACATATTTCCTAATATATATTTTCAAAAAAATATGCATGAGAAATAAAATAAAAACAACAAAATTTAAGTATTTTCCGTTGTTTATAAAATGAATATGTAATTTCTCTTACATTTTTAATAGTTACTATAATTCCATTTTTATCAGATTCCGGCTAATGGATTTCCATAGTCAATGACACCGCAAATAAAAATGTCACATCATTCATGAACAAAATCTAAACTTACATAAAAACCATATACAAACCTATCTAATAAAACTCAAACGACAAATATTAGCTTAAATTAAAGTTATTTCAAATTGATAAATCATTTAGTACAAATACAAATACTACTCCATCTGTTTCTAAAAGATATATATTCTAGACTTTTCACAAATATTAAGAAAACTTATTAAATTTTAATTGTAAATGCATTGTTTTTTGTGAATAACAATTTTTCATAACTTTTAACCAGTAGAAACTCAATAAACACCATTAATTTTTTTGAAACTTACAATTTTTCATTAAATCATTCATTGAAAAAGTAAAAAATGTATCTTTTTGAAACAAATTTTTTTCTATATATACATTTTTTAGGAACGGGGAGAGTATAAAGAAATATTTATCAAATTTTGACCACCGATATAAAAACTATTGTATTTACTAAACCAACAAAAAAAAACCACAGGCAAAAACTACAACAAAGTTATTTTACAATATAATAGCGACAAATAATAAATTAGGAGTTATTTAATGTTACTATTACCAAAACAAATTACTCACATTAGTTCTAACTTCTAAGGAGTCATTTAGTGTTTATATAACAAACATTTACTACTATTAAAAGGGTAAAATGAAGATTAAAAACTAGTTGAGTTAAAAATTTATCAATTGGATAGAAAGTAGAAATCATACGTTTTAGTAGTATAAATATTTAGCACATTTACCCATCAGCTAACAAAAAAATACGAGTAAGAGCCTGTCTTTTTTTTGTCAACTGTAGAGCACGTCTAACATCCATTATATTAAATTTCCTAAAATTGTAAAAACATAATTTTTTAAAAAAAAATTATGGAGAAAACAACTCAAAATAATTCAAATAAAATAATTTTGTTTATTTGAAATGGACTTCACTACTACTTTAGATAACCAATTTTTTATATATCCTATCGGCTAATTATTTAGTTCTTATTATTTGTTATTTTATTAAATTAATCTACTTGAAATATTTTTATTATAGATTTACTCTGACTCATGATCCTAAGAAATTTATAATAAATATTCTTATTTTATATATTAACATATATGGGTATTGAGAATTTTTGTCGAGAACTCTATTAAAAACTCTTATGCTTCAAAAGAAAACTCTTATGCTCACAAAAACCACAATGGTTGTCGTTTTTTTCGTAATTAATCCTTAGTTTTTGCTGCATTTTTACTTTTTTTTTTAAACTCCGGATTAAATCAAAGCAACAATAAGAAACTCACGTATTACATGATTAATATCAAAAAGAGACAATGGAGTAATAATACGACAAGTCAGTGAAGAAATGAAATGTATGATTATTTTTTTTTGAGAAAGTATGTAGAATGATTTTGAGGAAGCTACATACATATATACATGTGGTTGACAAAAAAAAAACATACGTATATACATGTGAGACCCAATCTCTTCTCTCAACTTACGAATTAATAATGAAAACCTATACGTTGTGACACTATTCCCAACATAAGAATCATATACTATACTACTAATCTAATTCCCCATACCTCGAAAGAGCCAATATATTATGAAGTGCAATGGCCGCTTTTTATCAATATATCATGTATAGTGAGATACATAGAAGCCATTTTCTTCTTTGAAATTAGTGTATAAACTAAATCCGCATATAGTTGCTATGAGTGAATTATACAACGACGTCGTATATCCCATATTTTCAAGATTATATTTTACCATATACGCACAAATAATCATAATAGCTATGAGCCTTTTTTAAGATTAAGACATCTCTATTTTATCTTTCAATTCAAAAAAAAAAGATTCGATAATGAAGAATAATCAAATCATATTTGTAGAGTAACTTTTTCATTTACAAAATTTCGCATTAGGGCACAAACACTTATACATGTATACGTATGTTTTCCCCTAATCTCTGAACACTCACAAACGCATATATACACGTACATATGAATAAATGAATCAATCACGTGAACAAAGGAGCATCATCACACATCTTCTAATGATGTAAATCCTTCCTTTTTGTTCTTTCAGATACTTCCCAAGTCTTCTACTTTGTGATTTCTTCTCTTTTCTCTTCAAGTTCATTATGCTTTCCATATCCGCTTGTTTGACCTTGAATAACCGGTTGCTGTACGAATGATTATTCGCAAATAGTTTCTAACAGTTACGAATCTGCGAGATAGTTTATATAGAGGTAGAGAGACTGTGGTTTTGTAAAGAGAGAGTTGAGCTTTAGAAGGTTAAGTGATTTGATGAGGAAGATACCCGTTCGAATGAGATTTTATAGGGATGAACTTTTGTCTGCATTGTACATTTTAAAATTTTAATAAATGAGTAGATATCCATAAGAAAATTTATTCTAATATCTTATGGTTGAGTCACGTCACCAAACTTTACATAACAATGTGAAAATACGCCAACCAAGATACAATGGTCGGCCATTTGGTTGCATGCCTTATTCTTTTATAGTCACACAACAAGAAGTGACAAAAGAATAAACAATTTAATTGATAGGAGTATATATTAGCTTCTTAAAGAAACCTGTAAGTCTTATATATAGCTCATGTAATTTCTTTTGATGATATACTTGTAATTGCTTTGTTATTTGACATGTTTATACATTGGCTGATTATGTATAATTATAGCCATTTTGCTTCAAATGAGATTAACAGATCCCACAAAAATGGGGATGCTTTGAGTCATTTTTACTCGCAAAATACAACCACTTTAGTGTATATACATGAAATTAATATGTATATTTTCAGTGTCTGGCTAGCTTCTTAGAGTTACGACACAACTATAATGGAAAACCAAACTGATATGGTATTGTTTGCTCACCTTTTAACACGAATTATACATTGAAAGGCACCAGTTTCATATGGATATCATAGTGAAAAAGATGTATGAGTGGACCAGTGGTGTTGTTTTCCCCACCTTTTAGCACGGATTATACATTGAAATATGTTTTGTAACGAGTATTTCACGTTTACTGCTTTATAAAATTGGTGAAATTGTCCAAGAATATTTTAATAGTTATTTCCAATTAATGTTCTGTTTAGTAAAGTAGCTTAAGATAAACATCTCTACGAAACTTCCTTAGCTCAATCGCTATTTTTTCTACTGGAACAAGTTACTTGAAATTTGCGACTTGTTAGCTTAGACAAAAGTTTTAATTAATCACAAGGCCAAAACACAATCCCACATGTCTTTTCTCGTGTTCCACCACCAAATCAGCCGTAACTTGAACCTGGCCAGCTTCATTCAGCTCCCACTGAACCATTCACATAATATAACTCAACCCTCTTATTGTATTGATTAATACAGCTGTTTTTAATTAATTTTACTTAATTACTGTTCACCAAATCCCTGCAAATTGTGTTAGTGCCTTAATATTTGGAAATTGTTTTGTGTGTCCCCTTCTACATATTATATCTCGAGTTTCCCTAAACCATGTTCCAAAACAGAACATTTTGATCTTCTAAATGTTGTTACATATACATGCGTACTTCAGTACATGTCTTACCATAGCTCAGTATGTATATAACCAAGATCCCAATAATGTATATTTTTACTCCGTTTTAAATTAGATGTCGTTTTATAGTAAAATTGTTGTTTCAAAATAAATGTCGTTTTATAGTTTTAGTGTAAAATTTATTGATTTTAAATGTCATTCGATTTTTTCATTGGTTGAAATGTGATTAAATGTATAGATAAATATGTTTTTGTTTTGAAAACATGTAAAAGTGATTGTTTTTTAAATCTGAGTGTAATAACTCATAGTGATAACTAAAATAAGATGGATGAAGTATCAGGAAATTAAAAGAAGAAAAAACAACTACTAAAGTTTAAATTTTCGTCAATCATTGCTATTTCCCACGTTACTATTACATCCTTTTTTACCAAAGATAGCATGCGTTTACTGTAAACATAGATTAAATTCACGTGCATTATAGTCAATGCACTCTTATATTGAAAGGCATGATACTCGAATAATAAGAAAATAGTTGATTGTTTAAAATAAAAGACAATAGGTCTTGAACTTGTGTTTCTTGGTAGTTGTTTGCATCCAATTATTTCTAATTTCAGAACAAGATAACAAAGCTAAAAATAAATAAAAGAAGCATGTAGAGCATGCCGCACGTGAAATCCACATGGCTAAGGGTAGCTGTTTGGCATAACCTAGACAACCTTCGTTATCTTGTCTCCTTGCTTAATATATTACTCCATTCATGACAAGGTTTACCACATTAAAATATATGATTAATTAACAAATAACTTAAACACTATATTAAGAATCATTAACCCGTATCTTGGTCTTGGATGATTCAAAAGATAGTGTCCGTAATTAAACACTTGTCCAGTGCAACGCATCAAGAACCAGTTTCGACTTTGTATTTGCTTAATTTTCTAATCATTTCAATTAAGGTTGATTAGTTTCGCACTCATGAAGCATCCAATATCTTGGAACTAGTAATCTAATAAAGATCATGTACATAAAATCAATAATGTTACAAAAAAAAAACAATATTGTTACCAGTATATAATAGTATATATATCAGTTCCTCTGTTGACCCCTATACAGTAATTGTTTTTAGTTGATTTCCTAGTGTGCTGATCAAATGTATTATAATTAAAGTTTCATTCCAATAATTGCAGTGTTAGATTGATTAGGGCGACGATATAAGCCCACTAATTAGTCTAAATAAGTGAAATATAGTCATTTTCAACTAGTATTGTTTAATTCAAATATTTTGACTTTAGAGATAGTGATAGGAAATAGTGGTATATGGGATTCGAATTTCTATATAAGATGTGATGATAACTGAAGAAAAAACATATTATATACGCTCAACGAGAACATGGGCTTAGAGGAACCTTATTAACGATGTTTCAACCCGGGCTTAGACGAACCTTATGAGATCACGGCTAGGCCTGAGTGTGCTATTGAACACGTAAATGGACTCCATGCACTTAACTATGAAAACCGCCTTTGATTACTTACAGTAATCAAACTAACCCGATCCGTATACATCACAATTTTATCCACACCATGAATAAGTGAATATACACTTATATCAACCTCACACATACACTGCACAAGTGAATAGACTCTGACGTAACTGTAAACTCACAGATATAGCTCATAAATAGTACATAGTCAAGAGACTCAAGACTATTCAAAGATCCATATACAGATATAACTAAATTTTGACACAAAAAAGAAGAAGATATAGTTAAATTAAATTATTACAGTACAACAATAACATCCTCCAGCTTTTTTGCTAACCTGTGATTTGAGATTATATATGTCAATGTAACCAAAAATTAGTTTATTCGGTGCATAGGTGTCAGTGTATGTGACATTAGTTATAAACAAAATAATATTTTGAAACAAATTTTCAAAATTAATATTTGAAAATCGGTTTAGGTAATGCTTAGATATCCGTCTAAACACCTAGACAAAATCTCTTCTAAAATGCCTAATTACCATATACAAGGTATCTTGAACATAGGTTTATATTTCTTCCCGAGAGTATAAGAACTTGGATCTTTCACACAAGTAAGTTGTTAATGTTCTTACACGCAACTCATATTTTCAGTCACTTTTGATATCCAGAGAGACAGATAGCCAGTCACGTTAAATCAATCAATCAATATTTTCTTACTAATTAATTCCACTTTTTTGAACTGTCACTATACAAATTAAGACATGAAAAGGAAAAAGAACAAAAAAAGATTAGAAAATTAAGAAGAAAAAGTGGAACATGCCAAGATAATTTGTTTCCCATTTATAGATTACACCCAAAAACAAAAGACAAAGAAAAGTAAACTTTTCTATAAGATCTTTTCAGTATATGTAAGTGTCCAATTATAATTCAACATATAATATATTCCAAAACTTGATGAGAAATTATATTAAAGATTCATATATTAAGTGAAGATTTGTAATCCCTTTAAATTCCTCCCATTTTACTCCTACTTGGCTTACCTTTTTTTTCAAAATAAACATTGTTCTTTTTTCAATGTCTTTCCGTAGCAAAGAACTTGAGTTTAACCTACAAGAATGGAGTCGAAAAGGTCATTTTACTCGTGAAAACCGTTGTTCTAGAAGGTTTTCTGCCTCCTCCCGAGAAGATCGCAATTCTTATAGAACAACCTTCACCATCTCTAGTACTGCCTCTTCTCCTGGCTACTCCCTCACAGGCAAAATAAATAGCTCATGAATCTCTCTCTGTGTTTATATGTTCATGATAATGTTTTCTTAGAGGCATGTTCTAAATATTTGAAGTTTTTTTTGTTTGAACAGAGGAGATTGACCCATCAAATTATTCATTCACTAATGCACTCAAGAGTAAGCTATTCCATAACTCTTAATGCCGAAAATTTTGTCTGACCCTTTAGATAAGCGTTGTTAGTAGCATTGCAAGAACAGAGAATAAGAACAATGACTTTTTTGTTTGTTCTATCTTTTTCTTTTTCTTGTAGCATTGCAAGCAAAAACAGTGTTCAATAAGAATCAAGATTGGTTAAAACCTGAAGGTATTGAGTTAAACTCGAAATGGAACGAAGCAGAGAAGTACATTTGCAATCCTTTGTCTGGTGAAGTTCCTATGGAGTGTTTGTCTTCTAAAACCCTAATTTCAAGATCTTTCAGAGACGTGCCCAACATGTCACCTCCATTCATGACTTTACCCTCTTATCATAATCTCAACAATCCAAGAACAACAAATCCTAACGTTAGAATCATTCAAGAAAATCATGTATCTACCGATCCTGTTTTTATTCAAGGTCACTGATTATCATCTTTGTTAAATAATATCATGAAGGCGGCTTTTGTGTGATTAATTTGTTTTTAACAACAAGAACTTGGGGTGTCTTTGAGCAGAAAAGAAAGTTGTGGGGCTGAAACGAGATGTGGGTGTGCAGAGTGCACCGGTAAATGTTAGCCTGGGGAAGACGCCACCGGTGATGGAGGGGTCAACTAACAGACAAGTGAACGTTGATGATTCACCGGTCGATTTTGCACTTAAGTTGAAAGCTCAACAAGAGGTATGTTTTACAAACTTTGCTCTAATTATGTTTCTTTCACAACTTGATGACACACTCAATATTAAATTTAAACGTATAAGAAAAAATGGGAAGGGAAAGTCAATTTGATTGAAGCCATGTCAAAGGCACATACGTAATAATTGCATAATTTTTTTGAATTCGTTTGTGCAACAAATGAATTTAGAATCTTTCACACAATTAGAGGAACACACCAATACATGTATGCGGTGTCTACTTATTTTTGGAGTGTTAGAAAAGACAATGATAAGACTGCATGCTTTGTATGTTTCTATATATATAATATTCTTTCATGATATTGTAATATTCATACAATATTGTATTCTTGTTATGATGCAGATTCTTTCATGATATATATTATGAAAAAAAGTAACGAAATATGCGAGATTTTTAATAATAGAAAAAAAAGTATCAACCAACTTTGATGTCGAATTATTTCATTTGGACCCCTTTGTTATGATTAGTATATTCCATATTGAAAAGGCTAATGATGTTTGTCACATGTTTGCATCTATAATCTTCCACAATTCACAACCGATGTATTAAGGATATTCTGACTGGTTTGAATCATTCATTCAATGTTTTTTTCTTTCTTAATAATCTAAAGGTTTATAAAAGATTACCCACTTGATTACTTGCTTACATTAAGGGGGTGTTTCACTGTTTTGTGGTTCTCAAGGATGTGAAATTAGAAGAAGACAAGGAACATATGATGACAAAAGAAAATAAAGAAGAGAAGAAGAAAGGAAGTCGATTTCTTTCATGGATGAAGAAAAGGCAAAGGCAACCAACAAAATCCAAATGCTTGTTTCTCATTTGTCTTATCAAATCTTTTTGAGCTTCAAAACCAATAATATTATAGTAAAAACAAAATAAAATAAAAGGTTAATGGTGTGTAAACTAAACATGTTCGAACTAAATTATGTATTTGATTTTTTTCCTCCGGAATGTGTTCCACCGGAAGAAACCCTGTACAAGGTTATTGATCATCAAAGTTTAATACTTTTACCTGAATGTCTTTTAGAGATCTCAAGATCATTAACCTGAATGATATCTTCTTTAGCCAGAAGATTAACTTTCTATGCGATCATTTTGCTGCTCTTGTCATCGTCACCAAACCCTAGTATTCCGTGTTCTTCCTCTATTCCGTGTTCTTCCAAAAAAAGTTAAAAGACCAAACAGATAATCACATTCATTCAAAAAAAAAGATAATCACATCTTGACGAAAATGAGGATCTAGAACATAATGAGAATTAGAAGAACAGTAAGAAACCATAAGAAGTAAGAGAATGTATCGTTGGTTTTCAGAATAAAAGAGTTAAGTTTATTTAAAGGGAAAATTGAAAATTCACTTGATACTCCAACGTGCTCAACCGGCGAAGAATATGTTTTCTGAGTTATTAGATTCTCAAAAAGTGTGTTTCAGTGTAAATTTAACTTCACTCGTACGTAAAAGAGTTAGGAGGTACTAGCAATTAAAGGCTTCCAGATCTACCAAAGCAGTTGTCGCCAAGATGGGTTTCACTTCATACTACTAACAAGCAACAAAGTACTAACAAACGACAAAGTAAAACCAACGAAAGACTCAAACAGCTTGAAAAACCCCATAATAAAAAAAGAACAGAGTTTTAAGTTTCCAAAGAAGAAAACCAAATCATGATCTTCTCTCTGCTTCTACAAATCTCATATGATAATGTTTTAAGAAACTAAAGTCAAATCCATAACACACATACTTATAAAATTTCTTGCTCCCTTCCTCTTGGTCACTTCAACGTCTACGCTTGCTTCCCTTCTTCAGGCTCGTCTTTTGACGCCTCCTTGATCTCATCACCACCCGCCTCATCCTGTAAAAATGAGCAACACATGAGCATTTAATCGAAACTTTACTCAGCACATAAACTTTCTAAGCACATTTAAACATGCCTTAGATTGTGTATATATGACTTTAAAAAGGTAAGAGTTAGGGAGGTAGATAGAAGTGTTACATTGAGGTCAGAAGTCCAGAGAGTCAGATTGTCACGGAGAAGTTGCATTATCAATGTACTGTCTTTGTATGATTCCTCTCCTAATGTGTCCAGCTCAGAGATTGCTTCATCAAAAGCCTGTAAAGAAAACAATTGAGTAAAAATCATTCAGAATTTGGTTCAGGCAAGCATAGATGATATCCCATAAGTCAACACACAAACCTGTTTGGCGAGACTGCAAGCACGATCAGGCGAGTTGAGAATCTCATAGTAGAAAACAGAGAAGTTAAGAGCAAGTCCCAATCTAATCGGGTGAGTAGGAGGCAAATCAGCAAGTGCAATATCCTACACCACAAAAAAAAACCCACCATTAGCATTCATTCATCAAGATAAACCCTTTTAACTACTCTCAAGATAAACCCTTTTTACCTGAGCTGACTTGTAAGCCACGAGAGTGTTCTCAGCAGCATCTTTCCTCTCAGCACCAGTCTTAAACTCAGCAAGATACCTATGATAATCCCCCTTCATCTTCAAGTAAAACACTTTAGACTCAGCCAAAGAAGCAGCAGGAACAAGGTGAGAATCCAAAAGATTCAAAATCCCATCACAGATTTTCCCAAGCTCAGTTTCAATCTTCCCTCTATAGTCCTTGATAAGCGCCACGTGTTCTTCGTTCCCTCTGCTCTCTTCCTTCTGTTCAATTGAAGAAATGATCCTCCAGGAAGCTCTCCTTGCACCAATCACGTTCTTGTAAGCAACGGACAAGAGATTCCTCTCTTCCACGGTAAGCTCCTCGGAGTCAACAGTCTTGGCAACTTTCTCCATGTACTCAACCATCTCCTCGTAACGCTCAGCTTGCTCGGATAACTTGGCTGAGTACACATTCTCTTCACGTGTAGACGACATCGTTTCGTATCACAGATAACCTGTTTAATACAAAAAAAAAACGTTTCAAATTTCATGAACGTAACTGTAATAACTAAACCTAAAATCAACATCATATATGTGAATGTGGTTTACTCATTAGACTTTGGTTTAGTTAGAACCGGTTTGTACCGGATAGATTATTATAATAATATATAATCACTATTTTCCAAATCCTCTCACGAGAGTTTTGTATCTGTTCAAATCTCAAATCTACTAAACGAATATCTGTATAGATCAACCATCAATACCAACAAATCGAAGATGAAACTAACTGTATAGGCTAACATAGACAAAATCTGACGAGATACACACAAAAATCGATGGAGATCATTCGTGATAAGGCCAGATCTATAAATCAAAACGATAACAGAGTAAACGAAGTTCAACAAAACGAAACGATAACAACAAGGAGCAACAGAGGAAGCTGTGAGAGAAGTAAGGTCAGATCTGGAGGAGCTTACCGAGAAGGGAGAGTTTTGGAATTAGGGTTTGACGAATTCGAAGGTGGAGACGCGAAATGAGGGGAATGAGAAGAAATAAGGGGGAAAAAGGGTGGAAGATGGGCTTTGAGTTTTTGAGAAAGTAAAGAGAAAAAGGCCCAATGAGAGTACGACAAGTGTCTAACCGTGTTGACCCGTCAAAGACTTTAATTTTGTGGAAAAGAAATAAATTATTTATATGGGGTATCATTTTCTCGTGCTTTGTCGGTAAATTTTGATTTATTATTGTTTGTAAATAATTCGTTGCTGACATTTCCACTAGAGACCATAATCAAAACATTTAATCTTGTTTCTTCTCTTAATCATAGTTTTTCTATTGTTTTTGCTATGTTTTGGTGATGGAAAAGAATAAAATAAGACACAACATTAATAATCACTTTAAATTTATCTCTGTAAAATAAGTTTGTACATGCTCTAATTTTTACCACCAGGGGAGTACAAATTAAAAAGGAAATATAGAGACAAATATTTTTTTTTTTAAAAGTTATCGGCCCAGTTCTACGTTACGGCTTGGCCCAATAGTATCACATCCCGACCCAAACGAAGCCGAATGCAAGCAAAACTTCAAAAAGTTAGAACAGAGCTTTTCAGAGCTTAAGCTCAGTCTTACACGGGCTCTCCTCTACACACGTGCCGAACACGCCGATCTTTCTCTTCTTAAGAGGCACCACGTGGTCCGCACGTGACACCGCCTCGAGCCCTAATGTTAGGTCAAGCTTGATCTCACCGGAACACTGTACAGCCGGCGGCGAGAAAGCCATCACCTCCGTGACTTTGCTCTCTCCTTCATGAGCAGCCACGATTATTTCCGACTGGTGACTCAACGACGACACGTGGCTAGCCTCCTCTCCACCAGCTGACTTTCCCTCCGAATCCGCCGGTTCAGCGACTCGCTTCGCTCGGCGAGGTTTCGGCCGTTTCAGATCGGTTGACGCTGCGGCAGGGGAGGAGTTTTCATCCTTGGAAATGTGACGGATGTCGTACATTTTCAGCGGCGGGCTTTGGCCATTGGTGGCGGTCTCTGTGGCCATCTCTGTGATCGGTTCACCTTTCATCACCGCCTCCACGGCGGCTAGACAAAGCTGCCAATTTCCCGACCATATTAAACCAACCGAACCGTAGATCGGGTTCACGATCCTCCCACAAGCCTCATGCAACAACGACTGGAAAATCGCTGCAAAATTATTTCAGGCAAAGTAGTCTTCTTAAGTAAATGACCTTTTTGTCCTCAATAAAGGATTAAAAATGGAAAATCCACTAACCAGGACGAAGGTGATCGGGACCAGCGTTGATGAGGTTCATGAGTCCAGCACGGCCATAGAACTTGGCGAGAAACACGGTTACGTTTGCTTGCGCTTCAGGGGATTTGATCCAAGCCAAACACGGTCGTATACTACAATCATCACTACACCCTTTTCGAAGAACTCTGCATCCGTTACAGCTAATCCTCATCTTGTTTTGTCGGCTAGATTCTGTTTTTGTAAGAGTTCTGGGAGATTTTTTGTAAGAGAAGTGGTGTTTGAGATTCACTAATTATATAAGAAAGATAGTTAGGTTTGAGTGATTGCGTTTGTTAGAGAATTAAGCCCCTGGGTTTTTGGAAGCTGAGAGATCAAACCAAGGGAATAAGAAGAGAGAAGACAAATAAAAGAAGCTGTTTCGCTAAAGACGCCGCGGTTTTTTTTTTCCGGATTCAACGTTTTACTTCTTGTGTTTCTTCCCCAAGTTTTGTTCCAACCCACTCTCAAATCCTACGCGTTTGTCATACACGTGTAACAACAACTTTAGTCTTTAGTTGTGATTTTAAAACTAGTGCATTTATAAAGAGATACAATAAAACCTCTATAAATTAATAATGTTGGGGATTTGAAAATTTATTAATTTATAGAGATATTAATTTACAAAAGTTTCTTTATTTAGATTTTTTATTTATTTTAAGATATAGTTATTCTAAGATAAGAAAAATATTTGATTTTAATGTATAGACATTAATTATCATTTTTTGAAATTTAACATTTATATTAATTTTATTATATTATTTTGTGTATATATATATTGCATAAAACCTAAATGTGATTTTAAATATAATATTATTAAACCTTATCAAAATTATAGTAAGTGTTAAGAAATATAAAAATAATTTCATTTTAAATATAAAACAACAATATCATGTAGATTCTTACCTATATAAAATATGTATACATATATATTATTAATTTATAATTTTAACGGGACTATAAAATTACATAGAAAATTCTAAAAAAATATTATCTTATTATTTTATCGATTTGTGTTAAATTTTGAACCGGCCCAAGTTAGGACCGACGAAATTTTTTAATTTATAGAGATTATTAATTTATCGAGTATTAATTTATAGAGTTTCTACTGTATTGCATCCAGTAACACTAAAAATCTTTAGATTTAAAATCTGGTATTTAAGACCAAATTGGGTATATGCTTGTATGAGTGTAAATAATCACAAAATACTTTACTAGATGGAGCATCTGAAAAGTTCATAATTATAAAAAAAAAACAACATATAAGTTCACTACTTTATATGATTTATCAGAAAAATGTTAAAATTGTGTTATCATTTGTAGTTGACAAAAAGAAGTTGTGTTATCATTTGTTAATGTTGAATCTAAGTTTTTTTATTAAGAAAAAAAAGTATAATAAAAGGCAGAAGTCAGGCACGTGTCTTTAACGCTCGCGCGTTATAAAATCTGGTCGAATCGCCACGTTTGAGCCAGATAGGATTTGAGGAAGATGGGACCCACATCTAACTCCTGGTTTTCTGGAAAGGAATCCCGTTTTTGAATACTGCTTTATCATTGTCTGAAAACTAGCGCCTGGTTTCTGGTTTTCGGTTTTCCGGGTTTTTATATTTTCATCCTGTCACTGTGGGCGGATTTTGGTGCCGCCGACGGTTTTCTTCTCAAAAGTAATCTTAATTACCTTAGCTTGGTGTTCAAAAAGAAAAAATTACCTTTAGCTTAATTAAGACTAGAAAAATTCAGCTTTAATATGATTTCATTAGTTTGAAACTTTGCACATTTGAGATAGTTGAGATATTCTGTAATATGTGATTTTTGAAAAAAAATATTTTCAAAATATCTTCATATACAGTATACTACTATAAACAAAAATAATAGTTTTGTCATCTGAAATTGCATAAGAAAACAAAATAGTTAAGATTTTGTAATTATTGAAACGTGATTAGGTAACCATTGTATCACTACATCATCATGTGTCATATAATACAAAGCATTCATATTTATCGAGCTTATCATAATTACATTTTACAAAGATTGAGAATCTCCTAAAAGGAGAAACGTCACTATACAGAAGAGAACTTACACAGACAAGAAAAGGGAATAAAAAGAGCAGAAACACTCCAAATTGGTTTAATATGTTACAATGAGACTGAAGATAACACTTATTGATCTTAAAGCCTTAACTTGTGGTGCTGACTGATCATTAACTCCTCTTTCAAAAATATAAACATCTGCTTCAAAAATAATGGAATCTTGATTGTATATGTACACTTTGTGACTCTCTGTTCTTGTTCTTTCATTCACTAAGCCATGGCAGGTATGCTTGAGCTTTGGCGGTCCCTGTTTAAGCAATCGAATCCTTCTACTCTAACAGCTGCAGGTTTAATCCCAAACTTAACTCGACCACAACCTCCTCCTTTGACACGAGATGGAGATGGGAGGAATGGTGAGAGTGAGAGTGAAATAGGGTTGAGTTTTTCATCTCCAAATCGTGCATCTTGAGCTAAAGGGTTTGATACTCTGCTCGGGGGAGACCCTAAGAAAAATGGAGGTGATGAAGCTACACCAGATAATGTTTCTTCCTACAGAGAAAGAAGTAGACAAGAGAAACAAAGTTACAATACTGAATCCAGTCAGAATTTGACCAAAAATCAATCTATACGCAACTACATAGGTAATAGTTGATTCAGCACGAAAATTTAAACAATGAAGATGCTTCGTAAAACATTCTGTAGAGAAGAAGAAGCACAAACAAGAACAATACGGATTAAACAATTTGAAGCAACTATATACTCTAGCGTTGGCACAATACAAATAAACACAGATCAATGACGAATGAAGCAAAGTCATATAGTTGAAACAAAGGAAGACAAGTGATTGTTTGATTCAGTATAAAAAGAAAAGAGACAAAAACCTTTCTACGAAGGATGTCCAAAAGATCAGCCGCAGCTTCAGAATCACATACATCAGCTCCTCCTGATTGACTGTTATATCCCAAACAAAACAAAGTAAAAAAAATCAGTCTTTGTGAGCTAAATAGACAGAGGGAAGAGACTATTATAGAGTTACCTAGAAGAATGTAATAATCTAAACTGAGGAATAACGTTACTGGAAAGAATGCCAACGCGCCTAGGCTTAGGACAAACAACAGAAGAAACAGCATCAGCAAATCCTCTGGAGTCTTCGAAGGCGTTCAGCTGAAAGTTACAATGATTCATCTTCGAACCACTTTTTTTTTATCCACAGAAGAACGCCTTACCTGTCGCATCAATTGCGTACACACAATGCAAAAATCAGAACAATTCGAGAGGGAAGGGTAATTAGAAAAAAGGATCATTTCGAAATACAGAGAGGTCAGTGTTTTAAAAAAAAAGATGCTCAGAAACAGAATAAGACAACGAATACGTTGACCATAAGAAACAAGTTTCATAGAGATTAAAAAGAACACAGAAGTATTGACTGGACACTATTAACAGACAACTTTCATATGAACAAGATAGAATTTTTTAAGCCTTTAGATTTGCAACGAACCGTTTACAAGAAGAGAAAAAAAAAACAACTTTGATCTGTCATTTACGCCATTAATGGAACATGACTAAGAGATGGGAAGTATTACCTTGAGAACTTTTATGACGAAACCGCGGCGATAAGGGGTGTGAGCGAAAGGAGAGAAACAAAGTGGCTTGTGATAAGCACTTTTTATAATAAGGTTTTGTATAGCGAAACTATGTCGTTTTTTTTTTGTTTTACAAAAAAAAAAAAACTATGTCGTTTTTTTGGAGCAGAAAATTATATAGTACAACTTTGCTTATTCTCGCCGTCGTTAATCCGTAATTTATATCACTCGCAAGTTGTTAATTGTGTAAAGTAACATCAAACATTTTTTATTTTATTTGAATGGTCAGAGTGGTTTGTTTACATCTATTTCGTAAGACGTGTGAGAATAACAAATTGTAATTGTTTGTAATACTGTGGTCTCTGGTTCTTAATGCTTTTCACGTTTTAAATGCTTAAGGTCCCTTATTAATCACCCCTAAATTGTACTTAACTCATTCCATTATCTTCTAAAAAGGGCTATCATCGTCATCAATATCCAAAAGCTTTTGACCAACTTACACATATATGAGCTATACATTGGGCTATCTCGAAATATGTTTATTCAGCCCATTAAATTATAGAAACCTATCACCGGCCCATGTTGGGTAAATCGCATCAACTATGAGAAGATCCAGACCGTCCAAATTAGGGATCTCAAAAGAAACCCTTAGTATATAAAACTTAGCTTCACCAGATTTGGTTGCGCCTCTTGAACACGAAACTCTGAAAGCTAGAAGCCGTAAACCTTTTCAGCACCTTCTAGGATTCTTCGTCGTTGTTAACTGGTACGCTTTGGTATATTACTCTGCGAAATTTTGGATGGCTGTGAGGATAATCGTCGTTTTTAAAAAAAATCTAAATGCATACTCTGTTTTGTTAAAGTTATTATCTTTTAGTTAGACCTTTAATCCATTGGTTTGACAAGAAGGGTTACAAGTAGAGTGCTTTTGTTAAAGATGTTAGCTTTTGTAACCAATTGAGAAATGTAGCTCATTGTCACTACCTAAGTGTTTCCTTTATGGTTTGTTGTGAACTGTTTGTTACTTTGCCTTGAAGCTACCAAAATGCTGATTAGATTATTTTTGTTGTGTTTGGTTAAATTGTTGTAGAATTTGCCAAGATGTTCTCTGCTCAGAACAAGATCCACAAGGATAAGGGTGTGGCACCAACAGACTTCGAACAAGAAGTTGCTCAGGTTCTCACTTCATTCTTTATAACTTGTGAATGTGTGTTTTCTTCTCTTTGATTGCTTATTGATTTGTATGTTGGTTTGACTTATTTGCAGGCTTTCTTTGACTTGGAGAACACCAACCAGGAGTTGAAAAGTGACTTGAAAGATCTCTACATTAACCAAGCTGTGTAAGTATTCATTTTTAAAGACTGCAAGGATTCTAACTTTTACTTAAATATCTAATTCTTTATTCCATTTTGTACAGTCAGATGGATATTTCTGGTGGACGCAAGGCTATTGTGATCTACGTTCCATTCAGATTGAGGAAAGCCTTCCGCAAGATCCATCCTCGTCTCGTCAGAGAGCTTGAGAAGAAGTTCAGTGGAAAAGACGTTGTCTTTGTTGCCACCAGAAGAATCATGCGTCCCCCTAAGAAGGGCTCTGCTGTTCAGAGACCACGCAACAGGACTCTCACCTCCGTTCATGAAGCCATGCTTGAGGATGTTGCTTACCCTGCTGAGATTGTTGGAAAGCGTACCAGATACCGTGTTGATGGCACCAAGATCATGAAGGTAACAAAAGGCTTTGCTTGTTTCTCATTTGCTTATGGCTCTTACTTAACATTGTTTCAATTTTTGGTAGGTCTTTTTGGAGCCAAAGGAGAGGAACAACACTGAGTACAAGCTTGACACAATGGTCGGTGTCTACAGGAAGCTTACAGGGAGAGATGTTGTTTTCGAGTACCCAATCGCAGAAGCTTGAAGAGATGAGAATGTTTGGTTATTTTTTTGTCGGATAGTGAGCTTTTGATTCTGTTTTGGAGTAAAAACTCTTTGCAAAAGATTTTCTTTGTTTAAGCTGTTGCATCTCAGTCTTCCTCAAAACTTGTGTCTAAAACAATAGCTTTCTCCTGTTCTTGAATCATTCACGGTTTAAGAAAGATTTTATCTCGAAAAATTCTCATTAGATTAATAATTTTTGGCACAAAATTGCATTGACATAGTTTGATATAATCATATATACAATAACATAGGAAAAGTCCGTGTAGCTATAGAGGATACAAAAATCTATTGTTCACTACTGCTCTGTACAGTTTTACGTTAGATGAAGATTTTAAGTCAGAAGTTCTGTACTCACAAAAATAACATTATTAGAGTTTGATAAGTCACCAGCGTTATTGACAATCACATAAAAGATGATGCAGTGTATCCTCTAAAGTTTGACAATCACATAAAAGATGATGCAGTGTATCCTCTAAAGTTAATACATATTCAGAAAGACCGTAGAGAACCAATTCTATACTTGCTGCAAGCCACTTTACGTTAGTTGCAAATTCTTCAACAGAAGTTCTGTTACAGAACTACTAACCAACACAATGTCTTTAACTCGAATAATAAAAACATGGGGCTGAATATAAGTTTGGAGTGTCGTTGTAAATACTTGTTAATAAATGTCTGAAAGTAACGTATATAGCAAGAAACATGTTAGCCTTGCTACACAATTCCAACAAAAAAGGCAATGATTATGCAAATATATATGGCAATGAAGGCTATGCCTTGCTACATACTTCTTCCAACCGTCTCTGAGTATATGATCGAGCGTGGTTGGACCAAATGTTACTCTACACTTGACCAATTCAACTGGTTCCTCTGTTTGCTTTACATCGCACTCTATATTGTGTTTGTTGAGTTTGGAATGTACTGGGTTCACAAGAAGCTTCATGACATTAAATTTCTCTATAAGCATCTCCATGCCACCCACCATATGTACAACAAGCAAAACACACTCTCTCCATTTGCTGGTAGGTCAAACTCCCTTCCGTCCTAATTGCCTTGGTGTTGGTCTCTAAACTCGTATAAGCTTTACTTAAAACGTTTGTGTTTTTCTCAGGGTTCGCACTCCATCCGTTAGACGGGATGCTTCAGGCTTCACCGTACGTGATAGCTATGTTCATAGTGCCGATTCATCTCATAACGCATCTGAGTCTTATGTTTTTGGAAGGGATATGGACAGCATGCATCCATGATTGTATCCATGGTAACATATGGCCTATAATGGGTGCTGGATACCATACACTACACCACACTACATACAAGCATAACTATGGTAATTATACCATTTGGATGGATTGGATGTTTGGTACCCTTAAGGTTCCTTTAGCCGAAGATGACAGCAAGAAAGCAAAGTGAGATTAAATGTTCAAAGTTCACATTTGTTTTCTCCTTGCATGCATCTGTTGTTCTTCTCGTGAGTCTTAAAGCTTTGTAATATATCTGTTTGTTGGAATAAGAAACATGACTTGCACTATTTGCAGCAAAGTTTCAAGACTCGTCTTTTAATCTGTAATGCTAAAATGTTGTGGGTATCAGTCTCTTTCAATGATTATTAGATATTTGCAACATGACATTCCAAAACTTGGATTTTTAGATTCAAAATCTTGAGGCCTATGTGTCTTTTACCCCCTTAATCTTTTTCCAGATTTTGTGTAAGGATTTGCAGTGTAAGTTTTACCATAAACCTTTCTTTCTAAAGGTCAATTAAAAGTCTAGCCAAAGTTTTACATTAGCCAGCTCTTCTTTTTTTGTAGAAAATAGTAAACTATGTATACTTTATGGTGAGGTTTCTAAAGATATAACACCATGTAATAAGAGGCATAGTTTGCCTTTTTCAGTTAAGGTACGAAATCTAAAAAGATGATGCAGTCTTGCCCTTATTAATAAAAAGATGATACAGAATTAACTACCAACCAACAAAATGCCTTGATTCTAATAATAAAACCCAACAAAAACATGGGGCTGAAAATAAGTTGGGGTGGTGTATTGTAAATACTTATCAATAAAGGTTTGAAAGTAACGTATGTAGCAAGGAACATGGGCACAGATAACAATTCACAAGGCGTTAAAGTCCCTCCATCTAGCGATTTAGGGCAACATTATCAATGAAACTTCTTAATGTGTCCTTAGCATATTTTATTAATATTTTTAAGTTTAGAATCAAAGTTAAGGACTTTCCTAAATTTCTAGATTATTGGTGGGACTTGTCCAGATTTAGATGAATCCTTCTTTGCATCGATGAATTTGAAGGACCAACGATCAAGGGTGAACGCGGTCGAACTTTGCGTTCACGAATTCTTCTTTGCATCGATGAACTTTGCGTTTTCCACCGATGACAGGACAGGGTTGCAACGACCAATGGTGATTCCTCCATCGTGAATTTGAAGAAACAGAGGAAGAAGAGGAAGGAGAGGACATAGAGGAAACAATAGAGAGGAAGAGATGAAGAGAAGAAGACTTTGTTTTTTTTTAACGCTATTGCTCGACACGTGTCCTTAAGGACATGCCACAAAACATCTTAATTAAGAGGTGTCCTTGGTATAATTGGCTATTTTAGATTTATTTTTAAGCAATTAAATGCTAAGGACTTTTGTAAGAAGTACCGTTAATGATGCCCTTATATGCAGAGATTCTCTCTCTCACACACATACCCTCATAAAACGCATTATCAGAGTCTGACTTTCTCATGGTGGATACATGGCGTCAGGAAATCGGTTTCTTACTCAGTTCGTCAAGGAGACAGCGTTTTACAACCGTATCATCCTGAGTCACCTTGTGCCGGCGAATCTGTGGGAGCTTTTACCACATTTCCTCCAAACGTGGCTCCGGAATTACCTCGCCGGAAACTTACTTTACTTCATCTCAGGCTTCCTCTGGTGCTTCTACATCTATTACCTTTAGCTCAACATTTACATCCCCAAAGGTATTTTAATGTTTTTCATGTTTTTATTTATGTTGTCAAAGTTTCGTGTTCTTGATGAATTTTGAGCTAAAATGTAGAATTATATCACCTTGAAAATGAAAAAAAAATTACAACTGGATTTCTTTATGTAATAAAGTTTTTATAAATGTTTAATTCTGTTACATTCCTCAAAGTATTCACTATTTAAAATGAAAAATATAGAATGGATATTCAATTCCATTATATAACATTCCATGCCTTTTCAGAAAAGAAACAACAACATATTTTTGAAAAATAATTCCATTATATTCCATTTATATTTTTTATTTTTTTTTACTAATTACTGGATAGTAGAGGGATCATAGTTTTTCCTTTCCTTTAATATGTTTCAGTAAAAGTATTTTATTTATTTAATAATCTACCATTTGCTTCAGATTCAATTCCTACAAGAAATGCAATGATTAAGCAAATACATGTGGCAATGAAGGCTATGCCTTGGTACACATTTCTTCCAACTGTCTCTGAGTATATGATCGAGCGTGGTTGGACCAAATGTTACTCTACACTTGACCATTTCATCTGGTTCATCTCTTTGGTCTACATTGCACTCTATCTTATTTTGGTTGAGTTTATGATTTATTGGGTTCACAAAGAGCTTCATGACATTAAATTGTTGTAGAATTTGCCAAGATGTTCTCTGCTCAGAACAAGATCCACAAGGATAAGAGTGTGGCACCAACAGACTCCGAACAGGAAGTTGCTCAGGTTTTCCCTTCATTCTTAATCTTTTGAATGTGTTTGTTTTTTCTCATTGCTTATTGATTTGGAATGTTGGTTTTCTTATTCTCAGGCTTTCTTTGACTTGGAGAACACCAACCAGGAGTTGAAAAGTGACTTGAAAGATCTCTACATCAACCAAGCTGTGTAAGTATTCATTTACAGAGGTTGCAAGGATTCTAACATTGGTTTAAATATCTCTTCTGAATATCTCTACATTGGTTTAAACAATAATTTTCTCCTGTTCTTGAATCATTCACGGTTTAAGAAACATTTTATCTCGAAAATTTCTCATTAGATTTATAATTTTTGGCACAAAAAGTAGGAACCTTATTTTACTACAATGGGGACAACTGATATTTGTAAAAATAATAAGAACATAAATCAAAATTACAATACCGAAATAAACAAATAATGAGAAATTGCAGAGTCAAGATAGTTAATCTCTTTCCTTAAATCTTTAAACGCTCCGTAGTGCGACGGTTTAATAGCACTCAGATTCCCATGATACAACTGAATAAATCTTCTAATGTGCGTCACTCTATCAGAAGCCTAATGAATCTAGTTTTGTGATGTATTCTCAGACTCAAAAAGAATATAAATTCTAAAATATTCATATGAGAGAATTTGATTTTTCTTTGTTGTTGTTGTATATGTTTTCTATAATGTTTTTTTTGTTAAAAGGCTTTGTTTTCTATAATGTTTACAAGCTTTTTTTATGAGAAGCACATGTTTCATTTTCCAACAAAAAAGAAACCTTTAATGTCCACTAATGAAGTCTTTTAATTCTTATCAATTAATATGTAAATTTATTTCACATTTTGACCAAGAAATTAAATAGTAAAATTATTATTATTTGACCAATTCAAACTAAATAATAAATTTTAAATGGATTTCTTTTTTATATTTTATCAATATAAAAAATCACCATATAATTGGTTTATAAGATTATGTTAATGAACATGAAATCCAACTAACAAAATCAAAACCCAAATCCAAATATCTAATATGTATATTTGTTATTTTTTTTAAATTTCTCAAATCATACATATTAGACTTCCATTTCTCATTTAAACAAGCTCTGTTTTGACATATGAAAACACTTTTCATAATACTCAAAAATAGTTGCAACACAAAATTGCATTGACATAGTTTGATATAATTATATACAATAATATAGGAAAAGTCCGTGTGTGGTTCAGCTATGGAGGATACAAAAATCTATTGTTCACTCCTGCTCTGTACAGTTTTAAGTCAGAAGTTCTGTACTCACAAAAAAACATTATGAGTTTGACAAGTCACCAACATTATTGACAATCACAGAAAAGATGATGCAGTGTATCCCCTACAGTTAATACATACAGTATTCAGAAAAGACCGTAGAGAACTAATTCTATACTTGCTGCAAGCCACTTTACGTTAGTTGCAAATTCTTCGACAGAAGTTCTGTTATTCGATTTGAAAAATCAAGTACTTGGTGTTATCAATTTTTTAGTCTACAAATAAAAAATTCTAATACTATATTTGCTATTGAGTTTTAAAATATGTAATACTATTTGTTTTACTACTGATATTGTAATACAAATAAAAAAATATATTATTTTCTTAGATATTTTTGTAATGTATACTTATTACAAATGAATCATATACTCGTTTTAAATCAAAGTACTTGAACAAGTATATGAAAAATAAAAGTATTTATTCCATGTTAACTGAACTTATAAGTTTTCCTACATTTAATTTGAAAGTTTTAAACCTAAATAAACAAGTATCAAGTATTATCAAATAACATACAAGTATTTAAAATATAGGCAAATACTCAATAAACTAAATATTTGATCAAATCAAGTACAAGTAGAAATAAAAAATTCTAATACTTACACAAGGCAAGTCAAATAGCCGGATGAGCGAAAAAGCCAAATACCCAGTTTGCGCCTATGCTCATACAGAATGGCTACCAACCAACACAATGGCTTTAACTCCAATAATAAAAACATGGGGCTGAATATAAGTTTGGAGTGTTGTTGTAAATACTTGTTAATAAAGTTTGAAATGTTGTTGTAAATACTTGGGGCTTAATACATTACGACTGATATGCCATCTTTACCTTCCTTAATGGTAAGATGAGCTAGTTTTTTTTTGCCCTGAAAGACAAGTGCAAAACTGTTTACTATAATATTTCCATGGTCTAGTTTTTATATTTTTTCAGCCTCATTGTCCATGCATCTTCCGATGAATAGTCCATATAAACAAAATTTCAAACTGAATTTATAAAATAGAAAGTATTACTTTGAGAAGCTGAGAAAAATAAATTAAAATACAAAGTAATCATAAAGCTATTTCCATTGTTGCTACATTCAAAAAAAGAATGATGAAGAAATAAAAAAAATAAGAAAAAAAGAGAGAACAAATACAAGAGATAATTATTTAGTTGATAATTATCTAGACAATGAAACAGTTTGGATCGTATCAGAAATTAGGAGTAGTAGAGTTCTTTATTGTTAGAGAGTTATTTTGTTTATAATTGTTTAATCTTGTAATTGGCTCAGATTAATTTTTACCATTACATGGATAATTAGTTAGTTTTTAAAATACATTACACATGTTATTATTTTATTGGATGTACAATTTGTGATTTATTATATATTTTTCTAAAGTTTGCGACATCTCAAAATACATGATATTTTTTTTATTTTATATAATTTTTTATTATAATTTTTTTTACATTTTTGATGTCTTGCTAAGTTTTTATTTTTACGTTTCAGGTTATCTTGTAGAAAAAAAAAATATGTCTTATTTTTTGTATTTTCAGTTAAACCAATGTCTATTTCGAAATAAGGAAGTAATTAATAAATGTTGGAAATGAATTTATAGACAGTCCCAACTATAAGGTTGTGCCAACTGTGAAAAAGCACATAACCCTCTTTTCTTATACAATTTTTTTTTAAGATTCAGGGCAAAAGATTTCTAAAACAATCGTTATAACAAATATGTAGAGATAGCCTAAGTTATAAAAAAAAAACAAATATACGAAAAAAGTGAGGTAAAAGATAACGTTGGGAAGAAAGAAGTAACGACAAGCACGTGTCTTTAAGCATTTTAAGGCTTTCGAATAGCGACCGACCGTGAAATATATATATTCTTTTGGGAAAATTGCCAAATATGACTCAAAACTTGATTTGAAATGCAAAAGTAAACCCAAACTTGAATCAAATGCAAAAGTAACTTAAAAGGCTATTGAAATTACAACCAACTCCTTGTGAACAAACAAAAAACGCGAATTTTTTTTACGTTTCTAGCCCTCGTAAGTCGTCTGCCCAGACGACTTTCAAATAAGTCGTCC